CCCCAATATATAACTAAGCTAAAGCTTGTGTGCATGCATGAATACAATAAGCATGAGAGGCTTAGGGAAATTTCAGCTTCGTCAGATCGATCCAAGCCGTACAGCATCTCAGATCATGCGTGTTGAAGATCAATTCATTTACCGTGCGATGTGGTGACTCCGTACCCAGCAAGGGGCAAGAATCTATGGATTCAACTCCTCTTTTGCGAGATTTTAGCTGCTGACAACCTTCAGAAAAGAGGGTGGGCGCCGCACAGTGACACTTGCGCTTTGTGCAACAATGTGGAGGGGAGCTGTCAACACTTTTTTTTTTTAAGAGAATGGTATTTTTTACCCGGTCTCTACATCCAACCGGATATATACGGCCATTGAAATAGAGAACTTAGCCCCGCAAACAACCCAATCTAAAATTCACTCCATCTGAAACAACCCAAGCTGTCAACACTTGTTAGTGGCTGTCAATTCACAAACAGTGTGTAGAGAATGTTAAGGAGTTGGCTCGGGGTCTCCTTTTCCTTTCCGGAGGATGGAGGGGAACACTTCACGGAATGGTGGCGACAGGTGCCATGTTGGTATGTTGGATGTTATGGAAAGAGCGCAACTCGAGAATCTTTGATCACAAAGATTGCGCAACAGCGCAAGTTTACAGATCCATTAGAGATGAAATGCTGATTTGGAGGGAAGCTGAAGTGTTTAAGCATAGAGAGTACCACGTGGGAGTTTCTCCTGGTTCCTGTTTTTCTGGATTTTCTTTCTTTCTTTTTTTGCGACGGGGGTGGGTGGGGGGGGCTTATACCTTTGCGACAGTATAATATCGTTCTGTAACTAGCTCGATTTTTTATCTTCTTAATGCAATTCGGTTGGTCGATTTTCGGCTGACCTGGCAAAATGAATTCAAATCCACTTTCGTTTTGAATCGAAAATGCAGCGATTCCACCGGAGCAACAGACAAGGGTGGAATGGGCCTAAGGAAAAGCCCAGCTTTGATTTCAGGAAAGTTTGGGCACCGCAAGTAGTTGGGCTTTGGTCATGTAGGCCTATTAACAATATTGGAGTTGAATTCCTATTATTTTGTTTCTAAAAAGAAATTTCTAACTACATTTTTTGGCGAGGGAAATGCTTAACCAGTTGGGTGGGTTTTGCAGTGATTTGAAAAAAAAATAAATTAGTTCTACAGGACTAATTAATTTGTCGAGTTTTTGTCAAAGGTATTGATTGGAATGTGTAAGGTACACTTAATGGGACGAAAGTATAGATAAGTAGTACGCTCTCAATTATTTTTGTAATGGGTTAAACTGGCCTTTACATCCAGAAAGGATGTATACAGTGAAAATACGCTCTCGATTAATTGGCTAGTCCATAATGCTCATTAATTATGTAATGTTTACAGCTACTGCCTCTGTTTCAGGTTATAAGATTTTCTAGCATTACTCATATTCATATAGATGTTAATTAATCATGCATATATGTGTGTCTAGATTGATTAACATCTCTATAAATATAGGCAATGCTAGAAAAGTCTTATAACCTGAAACGGAGGAAGTAGCAAATATGTACTACTCCCATATGTTTACAGGGATGTATAATAAGTGGGTGCATGCTCCTTGCCTATATATATACAGACACACTAGCTTGTTTTGCCTCTCTCTCCTGGTCTGTGCGCTCAACATACCAGGTGCATAATTGGGATTGAGATCTGATGCAGTAGCTACTAGGACTGCACGGTAACTACTGCACGCAATCCGAGCCCTCCATGTCAAAATCTAACGACCAAAAAGGATTCGGCACAGTAAAATCAGAACAGTACCCTTCCACAGTAAATCGCTACAGTGCTCAGATATATCTGGGATGTCCATTTTAAATTGTGCGATGCTAGTGTGACTGTTTATCATGCAGTCATACTAGCTACTGCACCTGAATCGGATCCCAGATGCATATATGCTAGCTTAAAACATAGTAGCAAAATATATAGCTTTTCTTCTGTGATTATTTGAACGATTCTCCATAACGACATAGCAAAATAGTTATATCAGAGGTAATTATTAAGGGGAGAGAAAAGCAAGCTATAGCTATATAAGCCTATGTTTGCATGGATACATGAACATAATTAAGCATGAGAAGCGTCAGGAAATTTCATCTCTGTCGAGACGTCAACGACTGGACTAAAATCCGGAACACGCGTGCCAGATTGTAAAAGGTCACTCCCGCTGGAAGCAGAGGAACTGCTTCTGAATCATGACAATGATCTGGACGGGTACAGATCCCGGCTCCTGGAGTTAGTTCTCCAAATCCACCGGGTGGATTTCTACAAATCTGGACCATTTGTTTCTTTATAGGAGGTATAGACGGTAGCCACGTCACTTTCTTTTTGCCTAATCCCATGCACGAGAACTGAAGCCCCTCTCTGTATCTTGATATGACATCGCATAGAAACAAGATAGGTTGTGTTTAGTTCAGCGTAAAGTTTGGATTTTGGTTGAAATTGGAGATGATGTGACTGAAAAGTTGTGTGTGTATGACAGGTTGATGTGATGGAAAAGGACTGAAGTTTGGATCCAAACTTTAGATCTAAACACAGCCACAGTGACTAAATTTTTTCTTCACGCGGCTCAGAATGATTAATCATGGTGTTTTGATTTGCTATCCTAGTGACGATGAGCTATATATGCATAATTAAATGGCATAGTGAATGCATCATGTATGTGCCATGTTTTCTTTTTGGTGTTGATCTCCTAATGATATATTCAATCTATTGGCGGTAATATTACAATCTACATTCTCTAGGAAATATAAGTATCTAACTACTTGTATTATTCTGCTTCTAACTTTGTGTTATATTCCCGGAAAATAGTAATTAACTAGGATGATGTGTGCAATCGTAGAGATAGGGAGAAAAGCAAGTAACTTGCTTAATCTGGTCCATTGAAATTAAACAATGGCTTGGATCACCTGAAATCCATCCGGTGGATTCGGAACCAACTCCAGAGGATCTACACCCAATGAAAGGGCATACAATAGTGGTTGCAGAGTTCAAATCTTCATAGTAGCGAATTTCAGATTGGGTTAATTAAGGGGCTAAGTTCCTAATTTAAAAGACTGCATATATCAATCTTCATATGAGCAAATTTTAGATTGTGTTGTTTTAGAGGATAAGTTCTTTATTTAAAAGGCTGAATACATCTAATTGGATAAAAAGACGAGGTAAAAAATATCTTTCTCTAGTAAAAAAAGGGAATTCGTTCGAAAATTATCAGAAAAGAATTTGGAGGTCTGATAATCCTAATCGTCGCTCTAGTCTAATGATAGGGGAGAAACGAGTGTATCTTCAGCCAACGATCGAGCTACTCCGCTGCGGGTCATAATCGCTAAGTAAGATCGAATTATCGCGGGCTCAAAGAAACTAGGAGAGATTATCCATCCTGTAATTTAATTAGTATCCTGTAATTTAATTGTTTTGTATTATCGATCCGGCCCGGGAAGTCCGGCTTTCAGAAAAAAAAAACTGAACTTTTTTTCGTCGGTTAATCATTCTGTAAACCCTGCTAATGGATATAATGGCTAAAACTGAATTTTCTGACAATTCTTAAGGGGCACAAATGAACAAATTAAAATTTACAAAGTTGAAAAAGCTGGTTTCAAAAATACTGATAAATAAGTTTTTTTTTAAAAGAAAATTTTGGAAACTTGCCCCCGATAATTCACAATCCATAAGCTGCCAAGAACAACAACCTAATCAATTTAGCTACTCTCTTGATGCTAGCTCATCTTAATTACACATCTACTTAGAGCTATAGCTTTTTTTTAATTATTTTTTTAGAGAAGGGTATTTTTTACCCTGCCTCTACATCCAACCGGATATATACGGCCATTGAAATAGGGAACTTAGCCACGCAAACAACCCAATCTGAAATTCGCTCCATAGAAAATTTGAACTCAGAACCTTAGGGTACTACTCAGGTAACTGTAACCACTAGGCTACATGCCCTTTCGTATAGGTATAGCTACATTTATATATTCAGAGCTGCATGGATTTCACTAATAATATTGGCATTTGGCATGTTTGGCATTGTTCCACTTACACCTCCATCTCTCCTGGAGCTGAAACCTAGCCAAACAATTTTAGCTCCACCCAAAATGAGAGCGGAGCTGACTAGATCACGTTCTCACACAATGAACTAGAGAGGTGGAGCTAGATTTAGGCTGCTCCACAACTTCACTCCATATCCAACTCCTATAGCTAAATTTAACAATTGAAGCTCTACTAAACAAGCCCCATGTAAATGGAGGTGCACCTACACTTGTTTGGCATCTCTTCTTCTCTACTCAAGATACACGAGATGCATGCTAGCTACCATGTGCACATATAATATGTACAACCAGTTTAGAACAAGTGGAATTTCTCAAAATCGCTCCTGGGTTTGAACAATTCCCCCGAAGCGTAGCAAGACAGTTATACAGTAGGATCTATTAACCAACTGAACAAAAACGGTGTGTATTTTCTCTGCACATAGCTTGCCAAGAAGAAGAAGCAGCTTTTAGCACGTTTAAACATTTACTACTGTTAACGTGTGTGGATGCATGAAAGCAATAAGCATGAGAGGCTTGGGGAAATTTCAGCTTCGACTAATCGTGAAAAGTTGTACAGCATCTTAGATCATCCGTGCAGCATCATGGTCGTGCTCCTAATTTAAGATGACGAGAGGAACGGCTATTCGGAGTCAGTGTGCTGGTTCGTTTGGAAAGAGCGAAACGGAGGAGAGTGTTTGGACACAGAGTTGAAGGTGGCGGAGAAGCTCGTCAATGATGTCCAGGTAGAAATCTCTATTTGGAAGACTGCGGGCATTTTGCAATCTCGTGAGGAGATGTAGTCTTTGTTCTTTTTTCTTTGTCTCGGTTTCTTCCTTGAGGGTGTTCAGCCACTCATAACTCTGGCAGTTTAATATTGAGATTATACTCATGTAACTATTTTCTCTAAACCTTAATGAATTTATTTTTTTGAGGAAATCAACGGCAGGAGATCTGCCGGAATTTGATTAGAGAAAGAAAAACCGTACAATACAGACCAGAGCGAGCAAAATAAAATTAAAAATTACAGATCAAGGGGGCTTAAAAGCCGAGCTACGAAGGTCAATTTCCTGCTTGACAAAATAAGCTACGTCCATCTCTGATCTAACAGAACTTGTGAAAATCCTATTATTCCTTTCCAACCAAATATTCCACCATGTTGTGAGGAGAGCTCCTCTTGTTTTCAGCTTTTGCTCTTTTGAACCGTGACGATCGATTTCGTTGGATGTTCCGCCTGGGGGTTGAGCATTTCCTCCTGCCAAGTTTAGCCATGAGCAAACGAGGTTCCATACTTGTCTGACAAAAGGGCATTCACTGAACCTTAATGAAATTTGATCCGTAAAAAAAAAAAAAGAACGGCTATTCAGAGTCCCACAGTGCAGTTCCTCTGTTCTTTCGCTGCAGAAATCCTGAGCATGCAAGTGTTAAACTATGTGTGGTTCGAAACGTGCACGCACAAGTATTCTCTCTTGATCTGAACATTTTCGTTTGCCTGAATGAAGCATTGTTACAGCCGAGATAGTTTAATTTAACTTGGGAGTATTAAAAATCTGCCGCAAATTTGAAAAACTTTCAGATATAACTATAACATAATTGAAATTTAATTACATTATAACTACACTATAGCTACACTATAACTGCAGTGCAATTACCGGTATAACTTATATAAAACTTGTATTCAACTATAGGTTGGTTGGCTCGCACTAGAATCTTACGTGTGACAAGTGCGAAATTTTCTTTTTCCTTCATGCATAAATTTCGAGGTGATATGAGGTTCATAGATCTAAAAGTTTTGAAGGCAAAAAAAAAAAAAACTTGTAGAAGTTCTCTAGCAATTATGTTTAACTTTATTGTTGTTGTTTAGTTGGCAGTCATGTGTAGTATTTACATTTCATTTGAAAATGCAAGATGTGTTTTGAAACAATGGGTTTTGATAATTGGGTATTAAATCAAAACTCGTGTAGATTTTCTTCTTAGGTAATGGATTACTATATAAAAAAAATAAATCTAGTAGGTGTGCACTGCGCGTAGCATTAGTTTCATCTGTACTGTTTGTTATTACTCGTAGCGAAATCAACGGCCTATATATTGCTTTCCATTTCCCTTTGGAAACGAAAAATAATGAAAATACTTCGAAAAAAAAGAAAAATAATGAAAATGGAGAAGAGGATGGACTGAATTCATCACTCAATCACACAAGCATTTCCACTCACGATTGGACAGTGTATATGCGTGCCCAAAAACTGTCCCATGAAGACTATATCATAAGCATGAAAGGCATCGGGAATTATACGGTAAGCTATATATAATTTATTCCTTGGAACTTTTTACATTCATATCTACTTATGAAATTCCCATGATCATCAGTGGTTCCATTTTCAAAAAATATTGGCAGGAGAGTATCACATCAATCAAAGGTAACACACAAATCCAAACATTAAAATGTTATCGATGCCATGACTGATCTGCATCAATCCGCTCGGCATGGAGCAGAACTGCAGAAGCTTCAGAATGGCATGATCAATTGCCAGCTATTTATCCTAGATTTGTTGACTACTTAGAGCAAGCAGGGGTGGCTTATCTTGCCCACGCCCAACTCGACAGTTTAATCTTCTCCTTATCTTAATGAAATTAGGTCAGCCAACTTTTGACCGACCTGACAAAAAATAAAAAAGAATATATGACATACTAGACTTGCAGATATCAAATTCAATTCAATTCCTATTTTGTGCAGTAAACCAAATCGAATTCAAATTAGCTTTGTTTTGAACTGAAAATGCAGCGATTCGACCTGCTGCGCAACAGGCAAGGGAATGGGCCTATGTAAAAGCCCAGCTTGAAATCTGGGAAATAAAGTCTGGGCCATGAAGTAGTTGGGCCTTAGTCATGTAGGCCCAGTAACATTGGAGTTGAATTCCTTACATTTTGTTCCTAAAAAACGGCTAACTAATTTCAGACTGAAAAGAATACAAATTTGATTTCCTAAAAAAAAAATAAAAGAATGCTAGTCCAACTGGCATGCTCGATCATGCTTCCAAGTGTTACATGGCCAGTTGCTCCACTTGAATTTCTCATGAAATTAGTCTAAGCTTGGCCGGCTGATCCATAATGTCTAGCTAGCTAGTGTGATTATATATATGTAATCATCACATTGTATGATGATTAACCAACTCAACAGCAAATTGGTTGATTTCATAATACAGTACCGGCTGTGGCTAGCTAATCATCGGCGCAAATGATTGGGCCGCTATCTAAACCGTCATCAGATCAGATCAGGTTGCAGTTAGTGCTACTAATTGAGGGCATCTTTGTTTGGTTAATGACCATAAAGTTGAGCAAGCTGGAAGAAAGTAATTAGAAAGAAACCAAGAAAAAGAAAAAAAGAAAAATCTCTGAACCAAATTTTGGGCGGCGATCTTGCTGTGGCGTGTACTCTTCAATCATTGGGGGAAGAAAGGGGAGAAATGCTCACGAGGTTCGTAGCTCATGCGTGCTGCAATCCATGTGCTGAACGAGAGACGGCAGCGACGTATTTTGTGTTCTTTCTGGTGCAGCTCATGCATGTGAGGTGAGACGGCCAATCTTGCAGAAAAAAATAACATCTGAAAACGGCCGTCCTTTTAGGTGAGGCAAATCTTTGTTTTTCAGATTGCCAACAGGATCCTCCTCGATCGCAATTTCAATCATCATGAAGATACTCATTTTATATGTTAGTATAGTAACTAGCTTCAGTTTGTGACAGTTTGATATACCAATCAGAGATCAAATTAATACAGTACTTTGGTTAGGATTTCAGAAACTAGTGGCCAAAGTGTTTCTTTTCTTTCTTTATTTTTCTTTAGTGCAGATGATGTGCAGTACAGTAGTATTCATCAAGTTTTTCCATCCAGTCTTCTGAATGTTGGTAGGTTTAGGACACCAAGTATTACTGAATATATAATTGCAGTCACATGTTCTTTTGACTGAAATAGCATTATTCAAATATGCTTATCCTGAGATCAACAATGTTAGTGTGGAATACATTGTTGAACAGCTCTTCAGACTTTCAGTTCCAGCGCATTCACATCAGTCTACTAGTCCTGAATTCCCTGAATTTCTACAATAATTGTTGCGTCGAAGAACCGTCGGCCTGCGATACTTTTTCGCACCTCCGACTCCGATACATCGGAGCTCACATTTCACACATCATGAGCGACGAAATAGCAACATGGGCATGTATGCCTTTGCATGTGAGTAGTAGAACATATGCCCATTTTGTGTGGATCTTTACATGTGAGTGCATGGCCTTCATGCTGTTGAGGCAGCTAGCTAGCACTGCAGCAAAAATTGATTATTGGTTTCTGTTGTGAATGGAGAGTGTAGGAATTGAGAAACTCTGGTTGGATTGAGCACATGTGAGCAATGAGCAATGCCCTACAAGGAGCTGATGGTGAGCTTTGCTTTCAGAGATAAGATTGCATCTGGTGATCACACACAAAAGAATGTTTGGACTTTGTCAGGAGGAATCATATGAATGCACATGGCAGATCATATATTCACATCTCCTCTTTCGGCACAAACAAAGAGCCAAATCAAGACAGACAAACAAATCAGCAGTGTTAGATGCCAAGGTATCACTGTACATATGACACATCATCTTGTAAATCTTTTTTCTAACCTTCTTAACTTTGGGAGAGGTGTAACATGTAGTACCTGCATTTCATTCATCATGCAGTTCCTGATTATATATCCAAAAAGAGTGTTGTTCATTATCTTATGGCATTCATTATCTTCTGACAATTGATAATACTAAGAGCTTCCCTGCATGCATGATGGGTACATCTTCCTGAAGACATCTGTAAAGGCAGTATATGCATAGGAGGAGTTTATGGCTTTTTTTCACTTATTTATTTATTTATTTATTCCTAGTGAATGTACCCATGCTGATCTTGTAGAGAAGGAAGCAAATCCACTAGTGCCAATCTACCATGCTCAAATGTCTACTCCTACTTGCTTGTCCAAATTGGGCAACCTTTACAGTATCCATTTTTGTAGGATTCAACAATTCCTAATTACAAAGAGCAGAACATAATGGTGTAGATGTTACAACAACATTCTGAGAACTGTCTGAATGTTGGCCTACAACTGCTATTTCTGCTAGATTTTGTTCATCCTGGATGATATGCATGTTACAGCACTGTAGCAAAACTGGGAAAGCAACAGCAGGAGGACAAAAGTGACATTATTGTTCTAGCATGTTACTACACTGTAACAACCTCTGTAACATGACAAACGGCGAATGTACCAGACACAATTAACATATAAGGCAGGATTAGTACTCAGATCTGCAGGACATTTGCCATTCTACTTGCAATCTAGGACCCTTTCTTTCAATATATTAACCAAGGCTAGCTACTGTGCAAAAGGCTAGTAAGCACTTGTCATTAAGATAAGAGGCAAAAGATGCTTCAAGGGGTCTCAACTGATGAAAGAATAGCAGCTAGAAAAAGCAGTTTAGGGGCACATAAGCAGAAGGGTAGGGGGAATCAGTTGTAATGGCTGAATTTAATGATTGAATGGCTGCAATTAGTTGTTCCCAGGGCCACATGCATCTCTTAATCTAGCTAAAAAAAATGGTGTCCCTAATCACCAAAAGATCTGGCAGGTGCTGATACAGTCATCCAACTTTCTTAATTAATTTGCTTTCATGTATATAATCAAATCATCCATATGCATTGCTTCTTGCAAAGCCCATTTTGCAAACTAGCTAGCTAGAAAGAACTAAAATTAGGGGAAAGTTAAAGGCATCTTGGGGAGAACCACCCCAGTTTACGCTTCATCTAATGATGCAACCATAATTGATTACGGCATAAACAAACCATAAACATGTACTTATTAACAATGTTATCTCGCATATGCGCCCTCTAGAGATTCATATATTTGATTTTGATGTCCACTACTAACAACTTTCTTGATCATTACAAAACCGAACGTACCATCTAGTACAACAAAACACAGTAATTATAGATCTCACTTTTAATTATGACTATATGATATAATATATATAAATAACGTCCCCTTAATGTTTGGCATGTAGTACTTTTTAACAAGTTAATTTACAGTTCAAGAACCAAACTATTAATTATGGTTTACAGTGTGATCATGGAGGAATGGGCAAACTTAAATTGGAAGAGGATAAAATATTGGTCCATTTTGGGAGGAAAACTAAAGCAAATGTGAATAAACTTATGGGCAAAGCAAGGTTGCGTACCTATATATAAGGGCCTCATCACTGGAGCTTTCTTGCACAACACCTTCTCTCCTCCATGCCTCTGCAGAGACCTTCAGACTTATTCAGAATTCAGAGAGAGAAAGAGAGAAGGGCCAGCCGGTGTAGCAGCAATGTCTTGGGGAAGCATCCAAAGGGATCGCATTGATCCTTCATCGCTCTCGCTCGCTTCCATGGCGGTCGTCGTCTACAAGCAGCTTGACGGATCATGCGATCCTTTTGGAGGCTTCCTCTAGCCATTAAAACTTCGATCTCCGTCTTGAGTTCTTGATATTCATGGTGCATGTTCTTCATTGTTGGGTTCAGACGTCTTGCGTTCTTAGCTGCAGTCGTCTGTGAGGTGATCTTCCTATCTTCGATGATTATAGATCATATAGCTATAATACTACTAGGTAAGGTATGCAGTTAATTTTTCTTGATTGTTCTTACTTCTAAGTACGCATGTTATTTCCCTGAAAAAGGGTATGCATGCTCTTTATTCGAGAATTTCTTTGCTTTGGTTGCTAATTACATAGCGAACACACTATGTATAACAGCTTAAGGATGCGATTACATGCCGTTCAGGCAGTGGAGATGCCTGGTTTGTGTACTTAATTATCTGATGAATTAATATGGAGTAGAACTATCAATGGGCTAGAGATGAATGGTAATTCGTAAGCTGTTTTTTTGTAGTATCAGATTCTAGTAGATATCCTGTTAATTAGCAAAGTTTGTCTGTCACAAGAATAAAAACCAGTAATCTTCTTGAGAATTCCTTACACTGTAAAAAAGAACAATAATGGCTTCAGATGCATCGAAAATAAACTAATGGTTGAAAGGACGAGTCTCACTAGCTGATCATGAGATGCAGGTAGACACTAATATAATTTAAGATTAGTTATTAAGCCATGAGCAACTAGCTAGCTAGGCAGAGCTGCTAGCTAGCTAAGCTAGATCTTGGCTTAAGACCACAGTGCATGCACATCACATGACCTATATTATGCATGGGAATAACAAACATCACACATTAATTATGTATACTAGTTAGTTAGTTAGTAGATAGCTAACAGAAATACCGGATCGATGCTTGCTAGCTGCTTGTCAATTGTACAAACCTCACATGCCCTTTGACTCTCCTGATCCAGTCTTAGCTTGCAGATCACTAGGTAGCAGCTGGCGCCGTCATTGATGCAAATTAATCACCGAATCCAAGAACTGTTATATATATGGTTGTATTTGCATCTATATTAATTATATTGTGTATTTTCATCAGCTAGCTCCAGTTGATCATCCTGGCTGTACAAGAATCCTTCTAGTGTTAGCACTGTCTAGCTAGGTTAATTTCCTTTTTTTCATGTTATTAATTGTAGTTCAGATTGGAGCAATAATAAAGTGATGATATGATTATTTTGGTTTTCTTGGAATATATACGATCAATTAATTTGTGATATAGATCTAGCATCTGGTGGATTGTAAGTATTTCTAATTGAACTTTTACTCTAGAAAACAGTAAAATATACTTAAAGTGCATATCTAGAGAGCTAATGATTAAAGCACAGAATTTATGTATATATGCACGATAATATGTGATCACATACTATATAATGGCAAAGTTTCACCTCAAGCACTCCACATGCATACTAGCTATATATATGATCAGATTATGTGTTTGAAATGCTAATATGCTTATGACATTTATCTTAACGTGTTATGGTTTGACATAATTATTTATACCACTTTTTTCGGGAATATGCAAAAGATTTATATGTGTATCATTGCAATTAATACTTGAAGTTAGTTACAACATTTTTATATCACTGAAAATTTTGATTTGGTGTACACTAAGTACGACTAATAGGTTTAGACATTTGCCTTTTACGTTCAACAAATGACCACAACCTGTTGAAATGTTTGGTTCTCCTTAATTATATATATGGAGCAGCATACAAAATATACATAGTTTATTAAGCTCCTGATTAACAAAGCGTAATATAAAAGTCAAATTATTTTTTCTTAGTAATAAACTCAGATGCATGCATAGCTAATATGAGATTCTGAACATTGATCCTGGACAGGGAATACATGTTTTACACGAGGAATTTTTGCTGCTCAAAGTTGCGCACCTTTCCGCAATTGGAGTTGCATGATCAATAATGATGCTCATAAGCAAGAGTTTTTGCCTACCCTCTTTCAAAAAAAAGAAAAGTTTGCTTAGCTATAAGACAAAAGATGAACAATTACTAGGGAGTAGAGGAAGAAAAGGCCACCATTATACTCCCTCCGTTTTATTCTAACCGTAGCTGTTAGTTCTTGTGTCCAACGTTTGACTGTCCATCTTTTTAAAAAAAATTATGAAAGAGTTTTTAAAAATAAGTCACGCATAAAATACTATTCATGTTTTATCATCTAATAATAATAGAATATTAATCATAAAAAAATTTAAATAACACGGACGGTTAAATGTTAGACAAAAAATCCCACAACACACTTTAAATGGGACGGAAGGAAGGAGCATGTAGGTTTTGACCACCAGGTTTTGAAGCATCTCCAAAAGTGAGATTGCTCATATACTACATCAGAGCCAGCATCATCGGCAATTCGGCATCCACAGCAAGCTGATCTGTTGCACCATCCATTTCTTTGGGATCTTATTTGTTCACTGTACTCAAGATTCGTGCAAATATCAGACATAATATATAAATGAAGTTTTGGCTCCGTACTGTTGAATATTTTGCAGCTAATTGTCTCATTCAGAATGTCGGTTTCATTCCGTGTGTTTTGGCATTTACTCGTTAGTTTTGGCTTAGATATAACTTAATTTGATCGTTATTACTAATGTACCACTAACCTAATAAGATATCTTGAATTATTGCCTGTCAAAGACTGACAGTTCGGCAGTGCCGCAGTGGAGATATCTGAAGTTCTAAGCTGCCAACAAGGACAAGGATAGGAAATGCATTGGGCCTGATTCTTGTGCGATTGCATACTTGGGCCTGTCATTTCAGGCCCAAGGTTACTGAGAGCACTGACGAATTTTTTTTATTTATAATTTTTTTTATTAAAAGTTTTACAAAAATAATTTTCCATTTTGAAAATTAACGGAAATAGTCTCCTACCGCCCTCTGGGAGGGCGATTTTTAAAAATCGCCCTCCCAGAGGGCGGCGAAACTGACGTGGCAGACGGCCGTTCGCTCTCGGGCGACGGCCGTCAACGAAATTTGCAGGCGGCCCCCTTGCCGCCCTCCGCGAGGGCGATTTTCTACTGTGCGGGGGGCCGCCTGCAAATGGGCGGCGAGGGGGGGCAGGGAATTTTGCAGGCGGCCCCCTTGCCGCCCTCCGCTAGGGCGATTTTGCACTGTGCGGGGGGCCGCCTGCAAATGGGCGGCGAGGGGGGGCAGGGAATTTTGCAGGCGGCCCCCTTGCCGCCCTCCGCTAGGGCGATTTTGCACTGTGCGGGGGGCCGCCTGCAAATGGGCGGCGAGGGGGCATGGAATTTTGCAGGCGGCCCCCTTGCCGCCCTCCGCTAGGGCGATTTTGCACTGTGCTCTATATTTTTTTTATATAAATATCAATAGTTATCAAATCTTTTTATATTGAAAACTATACAAGATTAAAATCTCCAAGACTGGTAAAATACAATTTTATTATTTTTTAGGGCATATTTGGAATGTTACCGTACAAATATTTTGTTAGTGCCAAAATATAAGCAAGTTTTGGCACTACCAAATATTTGGTAAGGTAAAATTGCATTTGATCATATTTGGTTTGCTGCCAAAATGTAAAATTGTAGTGAAGAATGTTGTACATAATCTCAATTGTAGATTACGTATTACCAATTAATAGGCTTCCATTTTCATGTGTGCTGTTGTGGACTGTGCGCGCTACTGGATATGGCACTACCGTGAAGCGCCGAAAGTGTGTTGTTGTGAGCATAAGTTGTTCGAGCACAATACGAATGAAAAGAACTACGTAGACGAGACAAACACAAGTAGTACTGCAGTAGTAATAGCAAAAGTAGTACTGCTTTACAAGTTTGTAAGCCAAAAGAAACGGTCACATAAGGACTGAAGAGGTAGAACACTACTGACGAGGCCTCTTACCCCTGTCCCTCCTACCCTGCGCCCTAATGTGCCCCTGGGAGTACGTGAGTCGGTCTGGGGGTACGGCACGGCCAACCCGTCCTGCCTGTACAGGTGTGACCTCTGGCTGCTCCTGAGTGTGCGCCTCTGGAGCTCCTCCAAGCTGAGAGGAGCCTAGTACGTCCTGGTGGTCTGCACCGTGCAAGTCGTCGTCGTAGAACTGGCTAGTAGGACCAGTCCTACCGGCGTGAGACGAAGAGGCCCCAGTACCGAAGATCCCGGCTGCAAATCCTGCTGGACAAGGACCATCAGTTTCGTACAGGTATTTAACAGTATTAATAAAAAGTAAAGTACCGTGTGGGTGAGGGATCGACGCTCCGTGAGAGGAAGAGCTGGCGAACGCGCCCGAAGAGGTGGCGAACGCCCCTGCGGAGCTCGCGGAAGCGCCGGTCGTGCCTGCGAACGCGCTCGAAGGCATACGAGGTCCTGCGATGAGGAAACGTGCAGTTAAATCATGGTGACACATTCGTGCAAAAGCTGAAACAAAAATGAACTAATATCTGGGCTGAACTGTACCGTGCGAAACCGGTGCTGTAGGTCGCACTGCTCCGAAGCTAGGGGCGCTCGAAGACAAACGAGGTCCTGCTCCGACGGTAGGACCGCGAGGCCGTGGGTGTACCGGACCAGCTGGAGGTACGACGTCCACGGCGCTGCGACAGGAGAAGACGCGCATGACCGCACGCATCTTCTCCTGCATCCGGTCGAAGGTCGACCTCTGCTCAACGTCAGTCAAGTGCAAACCTCTGCTCAACCTCACCTGGACTGCGGTGATATCGGCACTGATATCCCGTGCCGCATCAGCCTATGCAAGATGGAAATAAAAAATTCAGTAGTTGTCCTATATTATGCAAGATAAATGACATAATTGTTGGAAGTAATACAAATTGGACGTACCGCCACGAAGTAGTCTCGGTCACGGTGCGTGGGATACGCGTCCGTGACAGCGGCAACGTGCGGCTCTGGGGCGTCTGGAGTGAAGGTCACACGCGCACGAGTGCGAGGAAGGTACCAGCGAAGGTAGTCACGGTAGTTCTCCTCCGTGTGTGGGAAGAGCTCGTTGATCACCTCCTCTGTAGCTAACACCCAGTCGTCAACGTACTGCTGTACACGTGGAGCCCAAAGTGCGCCTGCTAGCTGTCCCCGTCGAGTCAACCTGTGAAGAGAGGTAAATTGTATGGCTCGATGATGTAATTATCATAAAAATTTAGAAATGAACAATCCGAACATACGAGTGGTCGGCAGGGGGGACGGTCGGCTGCACGTTGCCCGGAAACACCTGCCTAAGTCCGAACTGTCTCATCACACGCTGCGGGCAGTGAGGCTCAACGAAAATGTCGAACACCATCGGCAGGATGGTGAGCCAGTAAGCCTGGTCGCGTGTGCACAAGGACGAAAGTCCTAGCGGTGCTCTCGCAGCGACGGCCTCTTCTGTGTACGGCTCCCAGATGACGTCGCTCGGCTGGAGACGGTCAAACTCGAACACGAAGTCCGGGTAACCACGTTTCACCTGGACGTGAGCGTAACGACGCTGCAATAAACATGATCGGAATTAGACATGTTATGTGAAGGAAAAAAAAAGAAGATGACTGATAAACTTATAACGCAGCGAAGTTGCACTAACCCCACGTCGACACCAGTAAGTCCCCATCGTGGGACCGTCCTCTGGCCACTGCGCGCTGCGACCAACCCCGTAGGGTGCGCTGTCCACCACTGGTCGTCCTATGGCAAACCTCTCGGCTGCCCAAAGCTGAAGCAACATAGGGCAGCCAGCGATGATCGCTCCCGCGTCAGTCTTCGTGCACGCCTCACAGAGGGCACGGTACGTGGCTGCTAGCACGGCAGAACCCCAGCTCCACTGCGGCACGTCCTGTGGCTGAGCATCCGCGATGGCCCGTGCGTAGTGGACCAGCCGGAAGTCCACAGCGTGCCCGTGGGTGCTAGTGAACATCACCCACCCGAACAACCACAACAGGTACGCCTCAAGGGAGCGTCGGACCGAGTAATCATCAGCGTCAGGGTGCAGAAGGTCCGCCTACAGTTAAGAATGAAATGTTAGTACAAAACACTCATCCGGTCGCAAATAATCATGTATGATAATAACATCTTATTTACTTACAGTGAACTGGAGCAACCAAGCCTTGCTAGGCCCGACTGTAGAGTACGGAGGAAGGGTGGTGGTCGGTCCTAGGTGTGGAAGGCGCATCACCTGCTCGAAGCGCGCAGTGATATCCTCCTTCCACCCAAAAACACCGTCGACGGGACCAACTGGTGCTCCCGCCAGCGGTAGCCCGAGCAGGTACGACACGTCCTGCAGTGTCGGAGCCATCTCCCCACAGGGAAGGTGGAACGTGTGCGTCTCAGGTCTCCAGCGGTCTACAAGAGCGGCAAGGAGTGACCGGTCTGCATCCCACCGCTTCGCTGGGTCACGGTCGTCCGCCGCCGCCTCAACAAGCCTACAAAGTGGTAGAAGGCCTGCCGCACGCAACCTGTATAGAGCAAACTTCAAACATAAGTGCAAAACAAAGCAAAGTTGAGTTCAAATGTGAACATACGCGTACCAAGGAACGTGACGGGGGTCGACACGCAACCACTCGCGCGACGTGCGTGGACGGAAGGTGCCGAGCTGTGCACCCTCGACTGCTGACAGGAACGAGCGGTGGTTCCTGTCAATCCCACGGTTCAACAGCGCCGGTGTGTCGTACGCCATACCTGCATCAAATAGGTTGATCAGAAACATATAAATAATTAGTTCAACATAAGTAATAAATGTTCATAAGCGAATTACTAACACATATTAAACAAGAGTACAAACAAACAAAAGTGTTTAGTCCGAACACTCATCACGATAACATTACGAGACAAACACCGAATAGTTCGCAATACTACTAGTACAACAATAGTCGGAGGTACTCAGTACAACAAGATTGAATTGAAATTACACGATAGAAGTATTTAGTCCGAACACTCATTACATCATTTTATTTCCTAAATCGAAAGCATTGTTACACCATGGAATCGCCTGCTGCGCGACGACGCCTTGGCCTTGCGCGCCTGCTTGTTGTTCCTTCACCAGTTGGTCGCCTACCATCACTTGCCTGTCCAGATGGACTAGCATCAGCGCCGCTTGGAACTTCTGCATTCTTCGGGCATTTCTTGTAAGTATGGCCGCGCAGATCACACTTGCTGCAGCGTAAAGTCCTCCCACCTGCTTCTGACTCATCCATATCATTTCTGATGCGTCTAGTTTGGCGTCGACCCTTTTTCACCCTTAACTTAGATGGATCTGGAATATAAAAAACTTGGGCACTCAGCGTTGTGTAGGATCCTGAGATCCCGAACCCATATATCTCCTCACTCCATGTATGAAAGATTGCTTCTTTCCTGAAATAATTTGAGACGTACACATTGGGAGATATGCCACAATCACCGGCAGCAGCAAGAACGTGTGAGCAAGGAAGGTGATGAAGCTTCGGCTTCATACAACTGCAGGTACATCCACCATCCGCCTTCAAGACACATTCCTGCACGGCTTGCTTGCGATAGATACCACGCCTGCTCCTATCAACACACATTATTTAATACCGATGCACTTGTGTGCCTTGAGCAACAACTCTATGTCTCCGTGCCTTTTTGATTTTATCTTCCATGTACTTTGTCACTACGTTGCCAAACACTATGTTGTTATCGGCCATGGACGGACCAATTTTCTTGTATCGATCCCTAAAGTAGGCTTGCGTGCCGTGAAGGATGAATTCAACAATAGCAACCAATGGAAGTACCCGAACTCCTCGCATTACCCAGTTGTACACCTCTGCCAAATTGGTTGTCATTATGCCATACCGAGATCCATCGGTGTCGAACAATAGAGCCCACTTCTCCTTAGGCTCATTCTCAATCCACTGAGAGAAATTTCTGATGGCCGAACCTGACCTCCTTCTCATTGTTGGTGGGTCATCATGTAATGCACCAAGAGGTATGGGAGGCTCGTCACCTTCAACTTGTGGTCTGCGAGATTGCTCATCTGTTTGCTTCGTTGTCAACTCATCCAACTTGTCCCACAACTCATTAAATTTCTTCTCTTGGTTCTGTGCACAGAGCCTCTTAAAGAGATCCATAAGATGCTTGTTCTTGAATTGCTTGTAGAAATTTGCACCCATGTGACGCATGCACCACCGACTCCGAACATCAGGCCACTTAGCTGGAAGTCCCTTCTCATCCCAACCGTTCTGCAAGTAGTCAATAGCCCGCAACATACCCGCATGACGATCATGTATAAGGCAAACGTTGGGCCTCATACGCACCACTGCAATGTGCACTCTCTCTAGGAACCAGTACCAGCTTTCAGTGTTCTCACTCTCTACAAATGCGAAAGCCATAGGTAGAACCTGGTTGTTCCCATCACACCCAATTGCTGTCAATATCTGACCTCGGTATTTACCTGTCATAAAAGTTCCATCTATGCATAGAACAGGTCGACAATGCACAAAAGCATTGATGCAAGCACCCAATGAGAAAAAGGCTCTTTGCAGCACACTCTTTGTTCGATCTTCAACCGATGTAAATGTATGTAGGTCATAGTAAGTATTATTATTCCTCTGGGCAATGGTGGCTAACAAACGAGGCAAATTATCATAAGAAGCTTCAAATGTGCCATACCTCATCTCAATGATCTTTTGTTTGGCTCTCCAGGCCTTTGCATAGCTTATGGTGTACTTGAATTTGTTCTCGATGTGCCTAATAATTGATTTTGGTTCAAAGCCAATGTTACCAACAACACTGCTGTACATCTCACTTGCCACAAAAGCTGAAGTGATGTTTCGGTGATACTTCTCCACCCCTTGTAAGTAGCACTTGTGCTCGGTCACAATGCTAACTTTCCAATAATCATTCCATTTACCCTTATATGCATGGACACGCCACGGACATTCTTCCTTCATGCACCTCACTTCATACACATAATTTGTTGACTTGACCACCCTAAACTCTCTCTGCAATGAAACTGCCCAATGCTTCACCGCCTCCTTCATCTCATCCTTATGAGCATACCTTGCACCCTCAATTACCTCGTTCTCCTTATACTCCCAGGGTACATGATCACCCTCTGATAAAACAAGACCAGAGAAGTCCTCATTTGCCCAATCAGTGGCCATTACATCACCTTCCTCATCGGATGATGCGTCGTCCTCCGCTTGCTCATTATCCGAATCTTCCCTCTCCATTTCATCAACAATTATACCGACTCTCTCCCCCTCATCCGCCATGCCCATGGCCTGCTCCTCCCTTTGTTGATTTTCCTCATTTTGCATCGATGGTCCAACAACATCCCCTGCATTGCTAGGACCCTCCACATCTTCGGTTTGCATTGAAACATTTGTATCTTTCTCTTGTACCGACACAAATATAACGAGGGGCCATGACCGTTCAAAAGCCATTTCCACATACCGTCTCCAAGCAGCAGTGCTGTCCATTGGCATTAGTTCCCAAAAATAACCTTCTATTGCACGACTCACTACAACAGATACTGACATTGTGTAGACTTCTTGGTCTATTCTAAATCCTCTCAACAACCAACTATAAATTGACTCAAATGTTCTCTCCGCAGGCCTATCGATGCCCTTAGATGTCATTACAAAATCTGACAGATCAACACCATCTGGACCAAATCTAATATTTCCTTAACCGTGAACTATCTGAAATGTGACCTTACTTGACATTGTGCCTGATGAAAACAATAACTGCGTTAACCTCGCATTTCTGTACTACGCCCTAAGTTACATTCTCTACAATATTGTTCTCTAAATTTCTAAAAGTAGGTTACATTCTCCAGATCAAACTAAACTACATCTTACAATTAACACTACTGTCTATGTCTCAATTCATACTATTATATTCTATGCTCTGGATCTACACATATGTGCTGTGTGCTACAGATCTGCTAAAATATATGGAACTAAAACTAAAACGCAACATATGTACTCAAACGTAATATATTAGTACAAATGCAAAAGATGTATGGGAGCATACCTGTGATGAAGTGAGCGAACCAGCAGGGCTTCGCCGCTCCCCTTCTGCTGCCCTCCCCTCTCTCTCTCTTTCGTTTTTTTGGATTTTTAGTGAATATAATGAAATTTGACAGGGGAGGGGCTGGGCTTTATAGGGGGGAGGCAAAAATCGCCCTCCCCCAGGGCGGCAAGGGGGCCGCCTGCAAAATTCCATGCCCCCTCGCCGCCCATTTGCAGGCGGCCCCCCGCACAGTACAAAATCGCCCTCTCGGAGGGCGGCAAGGGGGCCGCCTGCAAAATTCCATGCCCCCCCTCGCCGCCCATTTGCAGGCGGCCCCCCGCACAGTAGAAAATCGCCCTCGCGGAGGGCGGCAAGGGGGCCGCCTGCAAATTTCGTTGACGGCCGTCGCCCGAGAGCGAACGGCCGTCTGCCACGTCAGTTTCGCCGCCCTCTGGGAGGGCGATTTTTAAAAATCGCCCTCCCAGAGGGCGGTAGGCGACTATTTCCGTCAATTTTCAAAATGGAAAATTATTTTTGTAAAACTTTTAATAAAAAAAATTATAAATAAAAAAAACTCGAGCACTGACATTGTTTAGAACTATGATTGAAAGTTGAAACGAACTTCACAAAGGGGAAAGGCCACCTTACCGATTTTCGAAGAAAATACCATTGAATACTGAGCATACTCTGCTAATAATAACCCAGCAACAAGTTTTCTGAAAAATTGCCAGCGAATAATCTAAGCCTGAATTCTGTGTGCTACTCACTGGCTTTTCCCAATATCAGAATTGTTAAGGTGACATTTGTCAGCAGCTTTGGATTGTACTGCCAGTTACAGCATAGATGAAATTACCTGGATTAATCTACTGGTCAATTTGCAGTCTTTATTACGTAATAATTAATCTGGATTACCGTGCATACTAATCATCCTTCCCATAAATCGCTGTCTTTCTGACTGCTGAACAATGGCATTTCTGCAACCTAATGAACTTATGAGATACTCCACCACAGAAGACCTTATTTCTTGAACAACTTTGGCCAATGCATTTCTAGAAAACTAAACATCACATTTATATTTTTAAACTACTATATCCTCCTATTCTTCTTCATTTTTTCCTACCAGACATAATGCAATGAACACTATAACATATTTGAAGGTCACAAACGACACTAATTTCCTTTCCATTTTATCTCCCAAGAACTTGTTTAGAACCCCACACATTCTGACATTCACACGCCACAATTCAGTTCAATTCCCCCTTGTATGTCATAATCAGCTTCACCTCGTGGCTCAGTTTGCTCCGGCGTGCTCGGCCTTGTCGTCCGGTGAATCCGCCGTCTTCTTGTAGGTGTACCAGCTGGCGATGACGAGGTAGACGCCGAAGTTGATGAGGCTGAGCACGGCGAGCAGCCAGAAGAAGTAGTCGAGGTGGCCGCGGTTGAGGTTGTCCGGGATCCACCCGACGGCGCCGTTCCGGGTGGTGACATGGGTAACGATGGTCACGAGCAGCGTGCTGAGGTAGTTGCCTAGCGCGACGGTGGTGAGCGACAGCGCCGAGCACATGCTGCGCATGGCGTCGGGAGCCTGGTCGTAGAAGAACTCCAGCTGCCCGACGAACGTGAACACCTCGGCGGCGCCGATGATGAAGTACTGCGGCACCTGCCAGAAGATGGAGATGGGCACGACGTCCTTGTCGCCGTAGAGCCCGTGGCGAGCGATGGCGCGCAGCCTGACGACGTCGAGCACGCCGGCGGCGAGCATGGAGAAGACGGAGATGACGAGGCCGATGCCCATCCGCTGCAGCTGGGTGAACCCGCGTGGGCGCCCCGTCACGGCGCGCACCGCCGGCACGATGAGGCGGTCGTACACCGGCACCCAGACGATGACGCTGAGGGTGTCGAAGATGGAGAGCGACGCCGCCGGGATGGAGAAGTGCGGCCCCATGCTGGCGTCGAGCGTGTTCCCCTGGAGGACGAACATGGTGCTCATCTGCCCGTACACCGTCGCGAACACGATCCCGCTCGCCCAGATCGGCAGCAGCCGCACCACGCTCTTCAGCTCCTCCACCTGCGTCACCGTGCACAGCCGCCACGCCGACGCGTTCGCCGCCGACCTGTCCTCCGGCGTCTCCACCGCCGCCCTGTCGAGGCACGCGAACTGCCCGGTGTGCTCCAGCTTGCGGCTGCCCTCGATGCCGGACTCCCTGTCGAGCGTCTCGTGCAGCCGCGACCCGTCGGCGGGGACCTCGACGCCCCACTTCCTCGCCGACGCGACGAGCACCTGCGCGATCCTCGTCAGCGGGCTGCCCCCGGGCCGCTGGTGCCTGTACAGCGGCGTGCCGACGAAGAAGCTGGCGACGGCGACGGCCATGACGACGGCCGGGATGCCGAACCCCCACCCCCACCCGACGTGCGTCTGCACGTACACCAGCACCGACGACGCCACCAGCGCGCCGATGTTGATGGAGAAGTAGAACCAGTTGAAGAAGCTGCTCTTGCTCCGCTTCTCCCCCTCGTCGTTCTCGTCGAACTGGTCCGCGCCAAACGACGACACGCACGGCTTGATCCCGCCGGTGCCCAGCGCTATCAGGTACAGCGCCAAGAACACCACCCCCGTCTGCGCCTCCGTCGGGTGACACGCTCCTCCGTCGCACGCCGGCACCAGCCCCTTCACCGACGACGCCATTGTCAGCAACGCCAAACCCTGCAACCATCAAAACATCTCTCTCTTCGATCACACCATCGATCATAGCAATCAGAAACTGAAATCCAAGACGATTAGTTACCAGGATGTAGATGATCATGAAGCTGGCAATGGTCCAGAACCTGCCCATGTAGGCATCAGCCAAGAAGGCACCGAGAAGGGGGGTGATGTAGCAAGTCCCCGACCAGTTGGTGACATTGTTGGCGGCAATGGCGCTCTCCTGCCCGAGCCGCGTCTTCATGTAGTTCACGAGGTTGGTGCTCATGCCATAGTAGGCCAGCCTCTCGCAGCACTCGTTAGCTGATCAAACCATTGCAAACATCAGTCACTTCACTCGCTTATATCTCACCATCAATGGAGACGAACAAGCTTGGCAATCGACGAGGAAGATGTTGTTACTTACCGAGGATGTAGGGGCAGGCACGCCAGTTGCCGGTGTTCTTCTTGGTGGCCGGGTTGCCCTTGACGTCCACGGTGCCATCTTGGGTGTAGATGTCTTCTGCAACCTCTCCCATGGCGATGCTCACCTCAGCTCACACTCTCACAGTGGCTGGCTACCTGCAAAGTTTGCAACGACTGTCTCTGATGAGGAAGATATTGGGTTATGTACAGATATATATCTTCTGACGAAAGACTACTACGACCAATGAATAATTAGGAATAGTTGTAATCCATCTGACTACTACGACCAATGAATAATTAGGAATAGTTGTAATCCATCAGAAATTCAGAGTAGAAATACAGGAGTTAGGTTGGTTCAGAAAGCTACCTGAGCTCGTTACTAAATCGAATCCAGTCAACTGAAGTTCAGATATTTTAGATACAGAATAAACTGGTATAAAAAGTAGCTTTAGTGGAGGAGGGTAGTATCAATTGCTCACTTTTGTTATCTGAAACTTTGCAAATCTCTAGCACTAGCAATTAATAAGATGTCAGTGGTTGGTTAAACCTGCTTCCTCAGATTAAGTTACTGAGAGCTTATGAACAGTAAAGAAAGTATTTCCCTTTGCTTCAGAACAACAATTACTAGATGAGTTATCAGCTTATCTCAGACTCTCAGTTTGCAGAACACTGCAAGTTTCTTAGAAGAGGCACGCGTCAGCATTATCTAGCAGAAATGCCAAGATATATATTTATCAAAGAATATATCTCCTTGCAAATTGCAATAGCTGAAATCTTAATTTTAAGCTGAAATATTAATTTACCCCAAGAGGCCAAGACTAAACATTTCAGACACTAAAGCAACATTTCCCCTAACAAACTAAAGCAACAGCTGGTGTTCAGAGGCAACCTCAGCCAGCAAATGGGCATCAATTAAAGCAATAGCTCCCTAGTTGGTGTCCAGGGGCAATCTCAGCCAACAAATTGGGCATCAATTAACTAACAAAAATTCAGACAAATCACAGCGGATTCAAGGCATCTGAAACCTTAAATCACACTGCTCTCCTCAAGGATTTAGAAAAGAGGAAGAAATGAGGGACCTTTGCTCATACCTGCCCAAATCAAAACACGATACTTCGAGAGAGAGATGCCTCATGTGCAGAAATCTGCAAATGAGGTCGGCAACCAAGACCGAGCTGAAGAAGAAGACATGCGTGTATCGCTGGATTCTCTCCAGCTAGGACAGTGAGCAGCAAAGTTTTGGTCAAAAAACAAGGGAGTGCTCTTCTGATGGCTGCTTCTTATCTCACTTTCCCACTAGAGAAGAAGAGAAGGCTGCTTTGGCCAAAGCTTAGCCGCTTTGGCCTTCTTCTTGGATCTTCTTCTCCAATGAGAAGCTATGTCAATCCATGTGGCTGCTTTGGCAATTAGCAGCTACTAGTACTGGAGAAGAGGAACACGTGAATGACTACAGAAACAGGTTGCTTTGTCCTGAACCTGCTGCAGTGACCATTTGGTGGCGTAGAACGGTAGAAGAACCGGGAGAGTCTTTTGTGAGTGTAGGGACATGTGGATTATTGGAACCATCAAGTAAAAGGATTTGGTTGTTGTGACCTTCTATCCAATGTTTTTTTTTATTATTTTCTTTAAGAAGAACCAGAATCATTGACTTGCTTCAGTGCATGCTACTACTGAATTTGAGTGAGATGATGAATGATGAGGAGATAATGCTAGTATGATTGTGTGGCTATGGACCAGTATCACTTTGGCATCTCCATCTTTTGGGGGCTCTCCATGTGGATGACAACTTGCTTTTCTGTAGTTTTTTTTTTTTTTGTTTCACTTCTGATTTTCTTCAGGCAGTGATCACACTTTGTTCAGACTATCAGAAATTCAGAATATTGTATTCAGTTTGTTCAGACTTCAGACTAGAAGATGAGGCCCATCACTGTACAGGTCAAAACCGTGGAAACGAAGTGCTTTAATCGACAATAGTTTATTTTTAAGAGGCAAATAGTGTCAATGACGACGATGTGATGCAACTTGACATTTGTTCTGAACTTGTTTCCTGCTTATGCAGCATGGAGACGTTTGATTAACAAACAGGGAGTACTAATCCTAGTAATCAGCTGGTCAATTACAAATGAAAAAACAGAAACAAGTCTGAGTGGCTCACGCAACAGTGACGTCCATGATTTGGTTAAAACTAAACAGCTAATTTCGCTCATTTCATTCCCACGGGAGGAGAAGGATAGGCTCTGCACAAAGAAAACGATGGACTCCAATGGCGACTTGCTGGAAAATTTTCCTCCGTGTTCTGAAGCTCAAATCCAAAACGTTCTTTTCGAAACGAGAAGAAAAAAAAATTCTCTGCAACTGGGTATGTCTCCGGATCAACATCTCAAATGACGGGCGATCTACGCATTCATATATATACAATTTATGCAGCAGTTGTTTTTCTTTGGTGTACCGGTGAGATGTGTACATGACCTGTCAGTCTAATGACATGGACTTGCCAAGAAAACAACAATCTGCTAGCTAATACCACTATATATTTTAGTGATGGTCAAAGGGAATCTTGGAGTGGCCTACTATCTAAAAGCTGAAGATTCAATAAGGCAAGCAATCTGTGACTGACACTCTTCTACTTCAGCAATAAGCCAATGAGCAGCTGACGAGAGGTCTCTGCTACTCTGGATTATACATTGGGCTTGAAGCTTATGATATGGTAATCAGATGCAGAGATATGCATCAGCTGAACAGTGGCCATTACCAACAAAGCAAGCAACGCGCATGCGTGGTGAGTGATGATGATGATGAGTAATTATGCAACTAAGAGGAGACAGACCCACGAAGCAACAAATGGAGCTTAGAAAGTGATTGATCACGGATTTCTTGTATGTGGACGAATGATTAATCAATGAAAGAAAAAGCAAAATAATTATCGATATTTTTATCCAGAGCATATGTTTAACCATTGTTAGTTGTTTTTATCAAGCATATAAGTACTCCGACAGAATTATGGCAAACAGTTACTATCTCCGTCTTTTAATAGATGATACCGTTAACTTTTTTTACGTGTTTGACCATTTATCTTATTAAAATATATATGTAATTATAAGAGTTGCTTTATCACTTAAGGTAGTTTAAACATGATTTTTATCTTATATATTTACATGTTTTAAATAAGACAAATGATCACATTCAAAAGTTAACGATGTCATCTATTTAAAAAATAAAAGGAGTATATATTAGTTTGTACTACTATTTGGCGTGGTAAAAGTACTAGTAATACTAGGCATGAGTAATTAATTAATTACCTACCGATGCAACATACAAAAACCGATGGCAACAAGCACGGCGTGAGCAAGGCATGTTGGTGCTTGGTTGGGAAGAAGGAAACACGTACGATATGATGAGTAAGAAAAAAAAAAGGGAAATAATTTCATGTACTGAGATATAGAGAGATAAATTGCTACAGTGATCAATGGAACAGGAAGAGCAAGTAATCTCTTCGTTTCTGCATTGGGTGATGAGGAGGAGGCGATCGAGATAGATATAATATAAATTAATTAATTAATAAAAAAAAAGTGTAGTATACTACTACAAATAACGAACTAAATAGCCACGTGGCACGTGATCGCTGGAGGAGACGACGATGATCACTAGGGAGAGAGAGCGATCTCTTGTTGGCCGGCCATGGAGACGGACGAACAGAACAACAACAGCACATGGAGGAGAAGTATGGTTTGGACTTTGGAGCAGAGAGTGTGAGAAATAAATTAAATCTCGGCGTGCGAAACGGCGGCGTACGTACCTGGCGGTGACCGGAGCGGCGGCGGCGGAGTATGTACCCACCACCAGGGCGATCTCTTCTCCTTCCTCTGGTGGTGTGTATGCGATGGCCGGCGATGGAGACGATGAGAGGAAGGAAGGAAGGAATTGCAGCGGTTTATTTGGTTCGATTTATAGCGGCGAGGGAGGAGGGGAGGGAGGCGTCGATACTCGATACGCGTGCGTGACAATAGGGTGTTGATAGATGTTCGTCAGGGCTACGGCTTTCTTCTTCTGGGGGCGTGTGATTGCGATTCACCGATCGATGTACGTGAATGATAAATGCAAAACCAACACCATCCGTCTACGTTCATCTACAGTTTTTTTTCCTCCCTCTATGAAGACCTGTTCTCATAAATATGACGAGAACAAAGAATTAATACATAATACGTGCCGAAACCTCGAACGAACGGTTATGCAGATTTTTGCCATTCTTTTGATGAAGATTTACAAATAAACTTGAATATATAAATGTATGTCTCCCTTAGTATTGAAGTATTAGTTTTTACATTTTGAGTTCCTACATTATATGGGTTCTCTGTTGAGTGAATTATGTAATATAAGTGGTTATAGTTTCGTTGAAACAAAGGCCGGATTTTATTCCATTATATTTAAGAAAAAAAGAGTACACAGCCAAACATTTATATATGAAAAATTTTACAGCGCTTGAGAAAATATCTTTGAGTCACCTAAATTTTATACTAAAAAGTTTTAATACCTCGAAATATGTATCTGGTATGTTCTTAAAGAAGATAAAATTATCCTCATATATGGTTTGATATGCACGTACTCCCTCTGTTTTTAAAAAAAAGACAAACCCTGGGTTTCCGTGTCCAATATTTGACCGTCTGTCTTATTTAAAAAAAATATGAAAAAAAATTAAAAATACAAGTCTCGCATAAAGTGTTAATCATGTTTTATCATCTAACAACAATGAAAATACTAATTATAAAAAAATTTCATATAAGACGTATAGTTAAACGTTGGACACGGAAACCCAGGTTTTTTTTACGGAGGGAGCAGTATTGTGGATTTTTTTAACTAACCGACAAAATACGACGCCAGTTTCGTTGAATGGTGCCTGACGTTGATACGGGCGGCGTACGGTACGGTCATTGTTACTGGGCTGGGCCAGGCTACGTAGCCGTACGCCACCTTCATCTACAGCTTTGCGGCGTTGTGTTGCCTCCTATAGTCTGTACTCCCTCCGTCCCATAATATAATAATCTAGGAATGGATGGGACTCAACGAATCTAAACAGTAAGTATGTCCGAATTCGTTGTACTATGAAATATCTCGTCCGGTACTAGATTGCTATATTATAGGACGAAGGGAGTAGATAGCACGGCAGGCAACGGTATGGCACACCTTCTCACACGCCTTAACCAAGTCTACCACTACTTTTATTTATCACCCACCTCTACCATCTCTAGGCAAAGAAATTCTTATATGCTAGGAGTAGTATAGTACATAAATTCGTATGTACAAGTGATTTTTCAAAAGACAAAACAAACTCAGAAAAGTAGAGATATTTTCTTGGTTTTATGGGCTAATAACAGACGAAACAATGGCAAACGCACCCTAAGCCCATAACTGCAAGTCCGGCCCATACTAATTTCTGCAAATACTCTAGGCCTCGTTTCTTCCGGGGCCCGACTTCATGACGGCCCATTAAAGGAAGTAACATCCTCGAACACAAAAGAAGCCCGAATTCATAGGCAGGCCCAAATACCAAATCGGTGGGCCTCGGTTACGTAGAATCTCAGGCCCAACAGCAACAGTCCACCCCTGCCAGCTACAAATCCACCGCCGCACACCCGTGATCGGACGGTCTCGTGGGGGACCAGCCATGTGTTTCCCTGACGCGTGGGGACCACCCGTCACAGCGTGTCTGCGCGGCGCCTCCGCCGCCGGCCGCCGGAGACGGCGGCCATAATTTGAAGCGGCGAGGAGCTCCAAACGTATGGGGCTGATTGGTTGGTCTCTGACTCTGACAGAGTGACAGACTGACTGTCTAGAGGTGGTAGTGGGTAGGGGTGGGGCCCACACCCTAGCTCCTGGCCCCACCATGTAGCCGGATGCAGACATTGCCTGACATCGGCGGTGAGAAGCGCACGCTTTCATCGTGTCTGTCTTCTCAATTTTCTCATCACTTGTCCAACCCAACAAATCCTCTCTTCATTGGTACACCGGATTTTTGTTTCCGTCGTCTGCGTTTACTCAGGGTGTGTTTAGTTTACGGTAAAATTAAAAGTTTAATTAAAATTGAAATGATGTGACGGAAAAGTTGGAAGTTTGAAGAAAAGTTTGGGAACTAAACCAGCCCTCGGTCAGTTTTACTACTCGTGGCAGCTGGCTTCAGAACTGGTGGCCTTTTTCTAGGGCTTGATTATCGTACCAGCTTCGACTCCCTGCTCCTCATGTTATCTTGGTAACTATGGAAGGAACAGAACTCTATGGTTTCCGACTCTGCTCTCTCTTCGGTCTCAGTGGTTCTAGAGTCCATCCTCACTGAGGACCATCTTTGGTTGTTAGCTGGCGTTACTTCTTTTGGGGTTTTCTTAGGAAGGTACTGCGACTACGTTTAGTCGTCGTAGTAGTCTCTTCTCTTTTTTTTTCCTTGTTTTTTTTTGTCTTTTCTTCATTCCCTTGGCATAATCTGACCTAGCTGATTGCGTTGTGTAAACAAACACTTTTTTCTTCCAATATATTAACGTGCAATACTTTTGTGTGCTCGTGAAAAAAAAAGTCAGTTTTACTACTACCATGGAGTAGCTCAAAATCAATTCGATAAAGATAAAAACTATGTCAGCAAAAAGAAGGGAACAAAGCTCTGATTTTCACTACCCTCCATCCCAAAATATAATCTGACATATCCTAATACAACAAATTTAGACAGATAAATTTTTAAATTCGTTGTATTAAAATATACTCCCTCCGTCCTAAAAAGACCCAATTTCTGGGTTTTCGTGTGCAACGTTTGACCGTCCGTCTTATAGAAATTGTTTTATGATTAATATTTGCATTATTGTTAGATGATAAAACATGAATAATACTTTATGCATGACTTATCTTTTTAAATTTTTTCATAATTTTTTAAATAAGACGGACGGTCAAATGTTAGACACGAAAATACAGAAATTAAGTTTTTTGGGACGGATGGAGTATCTCATCTAATACTATATTGTTATATTTTGGGATGGATAGAGTACTATACTTGGTCTGCGTTCGGTAGTATAGGATGGGAACTAACCCCTCTTGCACGCAAAACAGAGCGGTCCATTAATATATGATTAATTAAGTATTAGCTATTTTTTTAAAAAAAATGGATCAATATGATTTTTTAAAACAACTTTCATATATATATATTTTTTTAAAAAATATACTATTTATCAGTTTGAAAAGTGTGCACGCGGAAAACGAGAGGGATTGGTTCCCATCCTGTTCTACATGGAAATTGGTGTTCTGCATAATCCATGGACTGCATGTTTAACAAGAACCTCTCGGGTGTGTGTAAACGCACAGCCAGATGAACCCTAAAATTGGAGTAATCAAACCAGGCGTACGGCGGCGTAACGACCGCCAACTTGTCAATCCAATTTAAGAAAGTGATCAAAGTTGAAAACCTGCCGTTTTCTTGGAGCTCAAGGGCACTGGAACACCAGAATCATATAAACAAATCAGACATGCATCAAAGCCTCTAAACAGATTGCTGCAATTGTGCAAGCTAAGCTAGCTAAGCTAAACCCCTAATTAAGAAGGAGATCATCGAGATGGTTAAACAATACTCCTTGTAAACAACCAGCGGACAATGGCTCATGGAGAATGGAAGGGCCAAATACTTTGCCTGAATCTTGTTTGTTGTCTTTCTCTTCCTACCTGGAAACGATCAAATGGCTCTCCGGTTTCTTAATCTGACCCCTAATCGGCAATGACCATGAGAAGTTCTTTCCAACTTCAGGTGATCATGCCACCCAGCTTCTTTCCTAAACAAACAAGTACCATACTTTGGGTTCTTTATTCTTCATGATGAGTTTGCATTTTTTTTATATATATAAATGAGAGTGATGGTGTTTAATTATTACATGTTTTGGTACCACAGGTTAGATTAAGTTTTGCTAGTAAAAAGTTACTCCTTTTTTCTTAAAAGGAAGTCAGTAGTCCGGTCATTTCACGTATAACTGATTATAAGCCGTAAACATTATTAGGATTAAAAACATATTTTACAGATAAAACTTTTATATGTGTTCTTAGCGTACTAGAAAATAAACTACAATAAAAGGACATCAAAATCAACTCTAATTTAAAATTTAAATATTGGCAACGGTTAATTAGCTGAAGAGCAAACAATGATGAAGCAAATCCCATAGTTTAGTTAGGTGTGTTGCTATTCATGTGATACCCCCTCTGGTGCCATATAGGTATGCCATAGTATAATGGAGGGAGAACCTGCATCCAGCTCTCACATCTTTAACAAATATGAACATGAAAACAAATGAGTTTTTGTGTACATGCCAGAAAAGAAAATTATTGAGAATTGTGTACCTGAAGCCATACGCTATGCATCACCTGAATCAATCATTTCTGAACCCCCAAAATAACATATATATTCTCCGCGTCTTCGGTCGCGGAAGAAAACAAACTATTTCAGTACTGACAAAGTTAACACATTTCAATTTTTCGTCTCTTTCAAACATCCAATAAAATTAGAGCGCTACAGAGAGAGCGACGAGGACGATTTCATTCTCAACCAGTGTCACTTTCCAAACTGTTTCCACAGCATTTGCATAGCTAGCTTGTTCACGCTGCCTGCTGCGTGCATGTATGATTAGTCAAAGTCAGTGTAGGATTAATTGTAATACTCCAGCTTCCACAACCATTTGTTGCTTCGATTCAAAGCGAGGCAGTTGTTTAATTGGGATCTGTTGTTTCTTTCTTTTTCGCTTTTTTTTTTCTCTTGGGGTGCAGATCGATCTTGACATGCATGCTTGTCCATCAGATTCAGAAAGCTCCCCTGTTTCGGTTGTACTTTCGCAGTCTTTTTTATGATTCCTGCTCCTGCTTTTGTGGCGATCTCATCTGCTTCTGCAGCAGCCAAGAAGCCATGTGCCACAAAATAAATGGAGGACCGGAGAAACATGAGATAACAAGAACAAGTCAGCTGTGTTCTGATGCAAATTGAGCTGAATAATTATCAGGCAAGAATTTGTCAGGAAGGTTGCAGTTTCAAGTCAAGAAAGACAGGAATTTCTTTTGTTATTCTTTCTCTCGGTCACCCGGGGAATCAAATGGAAATACTAGTCTGTCAAAGCAGTGAAGCACACATTTTTCTTCTTCACTTCGTTTTCTCTTCCTTTTGCTTTCAAGAAAGAAGATGTCACCAGTATAGATTCTGAGAATTGTGACTACAGCAAGCATTGAATGTGCTGTAATTTTCAGAATTTGTCCTTTGCATAGTACTTTGCGACAGCACACAGGAGAACGTACTACAATCCCTAACAAATTTGGGGTGTGTGGTAAAATTGGAAGTTTGTTTGAAATTGAAACGATGTGACGGAAAAGTTGGAAGTTTGTGTGTGTAAGAAAATTTTGATGTGATGAAAAAGTTGGAAGTTTGAAGAAAAAGTTTGAAACTAAACTCGGCCTTCAGCAATGCACATTCTTGAAACACCTAATTTCCAACACAAGTGTTGGGAGGATCAGCAGAGTGGAAATATTCTCCCAAATTGAAATAAATGAGTTTCAGATGTGCACTCTAAAGAAGGCATATCTGAACAGAGCTCTGAACATTATTCATGTGTTCAGCATGCATTAAATCCAAAATTTGCTAGTGTAGTGAATAACCTGTTTTAGTTGAAGAAGATGCTTTTTTTAATGCGCAAAAAGATTGCACGTCAATATATTATAAGAAAAGAGTTATATATAGTTACACAACGCAATCAGCTAAACTGGCTTAATGCTCTCAACAAAGTATGGAACGCAATTATTCACTAAAAGTAGGGAACATAAATACTTAAGCACATTTAAGATCTAGTTGGCTGCCCCTGGTTAGCATGGGAGTACCACATCGCTCTAAATTGTGTAAAGTACACATCTCCACATATGATCACAATAGATGTAGTTTTAGTAAACTTATACTCCCTCCATTCTAAAAAAAACCAACCTAATTCTAGATGTGATATATCCTAGTACTATGAATCTGGACATAAATCTGTCCAGATAATTCGTTGTACTAGAATAATCATAGATTTATTTTTTTTTTTGACAGAGGGAATATACAAGAACCAAGGCCTCTTTTGGAATGGAGGAATCTTTTTTTTAGAAAAAAATGAGCTAATTACTATAAAAATTATGTGTTCTAAAGAAGCCGTAAGTCTAAATTGGATTCAAGAGTAAAAGACTCTACCTTATCAGAGTCGGATCCCAACATTTATTTTTGGGTCGCTTACAACTGATTATAATTAAGACATAGCGCATTACTGACTAAAAAGTAATTTACGTGTAAACATTTTATATATGTATTTTTAGTGTCTTAAAGGTTATTAATACTAGAAAATAAACAACTGGAAAAATATCAAAATAAGCTCTGGATTTAGAATTTAAATTTTATCTGCAACTGATAAGCTAAAGAGCCGAGGTCATCCCAAACAATAAAATTATTCGTGATGGAGCTGAATCATTTCCTGTGAAATGACGAGATTAGTAGTGTGAAGCACCAATCATCTTTTACAAGGTTTGGGTCTGACAAATCCATATAAACCAAGAAGTTGAGGTTCAGGCTCACGCAAGCCGCCAACAACACGGACGAGCAACACTTACTTACTGCAAGAGAAAGCCAATCAATTATTTTTTTTTGTCTGCGATAAAACAATGACCGCCCAATGCTTGGCCAGCAAATCATATGCCCTCTCACCAAACGGATGACAGCAACAAGTCGATGAAACCCTCTTGATCTCTACTTGTCAACGGCGACTAATCATGTTCATCACCTGCACACACACAAAATTAAACATCTCACACCACAACTCCACCACCACTCCTTCCAAGCTCCCCAGCCACCTAAAGCAACACACAACAACTGTTATTTTATACACATACTGATTAATTAATGGCTGTTGATTAATTAGCTGGGCACACAGCTACAGTCACCCCCTGCACAAGTTGCATTAGAACAAACCATTCACTGACATGTAGCTACAACTCGGTTTGGTTAGAGCCTAGAGCTATATAGGCCTAATTTGACTGCTTTGCTGCCGACAGAAAACCACTATTACCAATTGCAAATTCTTTTTTGGTTTTCTATCAGTAGAAAAAGAATATAAACCTTTGCAATTAAGGATGTCAAAAACTCCAAATTCAGAAAAAGGTATTGGCCAAGTAGCATGTAGTGGAGGTAAAAGCAAAGCAAGGGGGGGAGGAAGAGAAGAGAAGAAGAGCAAGCCCAAGTGTGCATGCGTGTATGCGCACGCACGCACATATATGCGGCCTAGCTAGCTACCAGGCATCATACGGGTATTAGGTGTAATAATATATATATAGTGTAAAAGTCGGCCACAAGCTGAGATGCAAGGCCCAATCACCAGCTGCCACTCTCAAGAACCTGACTTTGGATCGCTATCCCTTTTGCTTCTTATTAGTGCTCAGGGAAAGAAAGCTATAGCAGTAGCTAAATAAGCCAGAGAGAGGCTAAGAGAGAGAGAGGTGAGGGGAGAGAAGAAATCCTCGCAGAATTCGAGCAAGAACCGAGGGAGATCGATCGCCTCTTGTCCTCGTTCCGAGGCAGAGATCGACCTGAAGGTGAGTGATTTTTTGGTGTTTGGTTAAATTTTGATTCTTTTTGGAGTTGATTTGGTTCTTGGTAATGCAATTTAGTGTGGTTCCAAACGTTGCCGTGTTTGTCTTGGATGAGGTTTGGTCAATTTGCTAAGAGATTTGTGAATTTTGGGTTTTTTTATTAATTAATCCAATCTGTTCTTGCAATCAATCTAATCTGTTCGGTAAGGTGCCTCTTATTCAGTTTGTTGGTACTCTCATCTCATCTAATCATAAGGGTAGGTGTTACAATTATCTCAGAGTTTCAGTTGATTTGCTCGTAGTAAAGATTCCAACCTTTTCTCCCCCCCTAAATCTCTCCTCCAATTCCATGTGTATCTCGTCTGATTTTGCATCAACGCAAGTTCCTGTTGATAAATTCCCGTGGCTTTTGCAAGCTTTTGCAAATTCGCAATGTTATTTAGAATCCGATCTTGTTCTGATACCCAAACAAAAAAAAAAGGAAAAAAAAAGAAAATCTCACCTTCTTATTTACTTCTACTTTCCAGTGAGCTGAGCTGCGGCAAGGAGGAGGAGGAGGAGGAGGAGGAGAAGGAGATTGGAGATGATGATGAGGGATGTGTGCATGGAGGTGCTGCCTCCGATGGACCACTACGCGTCGAGGGGGAACTGGTTCATGGCGCGCAAGTGGTCGCCGGAGGAGAACAAGCAGTTCGAGCGGGCGCTCGCCGGGCTGGACCTGCGGTGCCCGGACTGGGACCGGGTGGCGCGCGCCATCCCGGGCAGGTCGGCGCTCGAGGTCATGAACCACTTCAGGGACCTCGAGCTCGACGTCCAGCAGATCGAGAATGGCATGGTGCCCTTCCCGGTCTACGGCGCCGCCGCCGCCGGCGGCGCGTTCACACTGCAGTGGGATGGCGCCCATGGCGTCGGGGACTTCAGGAACGCGTACCGGTTCGGCGGCGGCGGCGGCGGGAAGCGGCACTTCGGCCGTACGCCGGAGCAGGAGAGGAAGAAAGGCGTGCCATGGACGGAGGAGGAGCACAAGTGAGTAGTAGTAACATTCACTTCTTGTTCTTCATCATCTTCTTCTTCTTCTCTTTGAGAGTGATTGATTATTACTATCTCATCGCTCTCTGTGTCATGATGCAGCAGCAACAGGATTTAGTTGGGGAGATTGAATTTTAGTTTTCTTTTGCTGAATTCACTAACCATCACTGTTTTTTGGTCGTTTACATCACCTGATGGCTATGGGAGTTTTATAACTTGGAATTATTCAAACCATGAACAATTGGGGGGATGGGGAGAGGGATTTTGAGTAGGAGAGGAAGGGGAATTTCTTTTGTTTCTTTGGATTCATTCACCATCACTTGATTTTTTTTTTTTTTGGGGGGGGGGGGGTTGGTTTACATCATTTTGATTGCTATGGAAGTCTTGCAACTTGGGTTAATCCATTTTCTTTCTTCATTATGATCCAAGAAACTGTCATGTAGCTTGATGTGTGAATGTTTAGGCCTTTGGTATAATCCGATCAGGATAAGCAAGAATTGGTGAACAGTTACTGATCATGATCATGCTTTGTTCTTTGCCAGGTTGTTCCTCTTAGGACTGAAGAAATATGGGAAAGGGGATTGGAGGAACATATCCCGCAATTTCGTGCAGACGAGGACGCCGACGCAGGTTGCCAGCCATGCGCAGAAGTATTTCATCAGGCTCAACTCCGGTGGCAAGGACAAGAGGAGATCCAGCATCCATGACATTACCACGGTTAACCTGACGGATGACCGGCCTCCCTCGCCATCACAGTCCTCCTTGATCAGCAATCAGTCCAACACATCAACTCTGACCGCAGCGGTTGCCCCCTTCTCATCGACGGCCGATGTCAAGCCACAGAATGCCGCGAATGCGTCCTTCAATTCGCCAAGCCGGACACTTGGGATGGCGGGTTACGGGATGGGATTGCAAGATCAAGGATTGCAGTGTGGTGGTCCTCTACATGATCAGTTGGCCGCGAGCCGAAGCATATTGTTTTAGATGAAACCAATCCAGGCAGCACCATGGATCAGATGTCTAGTGTAATATTGCCCTGCTTGTAGCTTCATCACTACCTGTATTGAAGTAATTAATTATGGGGAATTTTTCGGAACATAACAGAGGGGGTGTGGAGGGATCTTTGTGCCATGTTGGTGACTGATAACCTGTGATCCATAATTGTTGGCAATACTGAGAATGTAACGAAACGAACGTCAAGAACTTGATGCCGGTGGTATTTTCAGACAGTGATTGCTGCTAGTGCTGAACACTGATCATGCATGAAGTGGACTTTGTATTCAATCATGGATCCAGCTTTTGTGAGGTGGATGAGGAGAATTCTATTCACTATGTTCTTCTGGTCAGTGATGCACTGAGAAACACCGGTTGCCATCTGATTGAGGGGTTTCAGATCATGCTGTACTTCACACATACTTATCCACAGTTCTATCAATTTGCTCATTGGTGCTCCCCCCATTTGATGTTTGCATAGAATTTATTTGGATAAACGGAAAATAAGTTTGCTCTGAGTCATTCAGCATTATTACTACTTTCAGTTGCTCATCTAGTCAACTTTTCTTGTTTGTAGCTTCATTTTTATAATAAAATAATAACTTCTTTTTTTTAATTCTGTTGCTTGACCTTTGGTTGTTTGTGTGCAATTAAGTCCTATACTGTATTCTTCTGTGGCTCTATTGATGATGCTACTTCCACCAAAAATGAGATTGGTAATGAGTCAGAGTTGCACTAACTTGGCATCTCATGCTTTCTCTGCCCCCTTTTCCATCAACTTTATAATTCTTTTTTCCCCCTTCTTTTTGGCCCTGTTATTATTTCCCTCCTTGAGAAAGGCATCTCAGATATGAGACAGATCTTTGTGACAACAGTAAAGAATAGATCAGGGAGCAGCATTGAAAATGCCCAAATGTTGCCTACTCCTTCCTTCCCAAATGTAGTTATTTTTGGAGTTCAAATTTGTGGTAAAATGTAATTATTTCTCCACCTACCCCTTCATCTCAACCATCCTCTATTTAATTTCTTCGTATACTTTCTCTTCTCAACCAATCATAACCTTTCACCATTCAATTTCACCCCACTTCCCTAATTCTCGTGAAAACCTCTAGAAATGCTTACATTTTGGAACAGAGAGAGTGCTTCTGCTTTTCTTCTCTGCCCTGCCTCCTCACTTTGCAAATTGCAGGGCAAAAACAAAGTGGCCACTCACTCTCTGATGATGGAAGGCACTGTTGCATAGAACCTTCTGGTCTCATGTGGTTGCTGCTGCTTGAAATTCTTCAGGCCTATACTACTGGCTTTTCCATGTCACCTGATGTTCCACTCCAGCATCAAACGATTTAGTTAACACTTAACAACCCATTTTTCGCCCATGGAATGGAACACAGCTTCTGATGCTGATCTTCTTTGGGGCCATAAAGAATGTATCTTTTTCCATGTACTTTGTCATTTTGACAATATCTTCAGTGTCACGGAAGCATGGCCAATCGGTAGACGACGTGCAGAACATCCCTTACACCTTAATGTCAATTGGAAGTGACTCTTTTGCTGAAACTTTCTTCAGACCCTTACCTTATTAGTATAAGTTTCAGATATTTATTAGCCGTCAGAGCCTTGTGTTTTGTGTGAGTGAAGTATTTCTACAAAGAGATTGAAAGAAAAATACTAGTAGTACTATGGAGAGAGGTGAGTTGAGAAAACTGGGGGAAGAACACAGCCTAGAATGAATCAGTTCTCCAAGAAAGGTCACAATCACCAGCCACCAAATTGACAGGGATAACAGCTACAGTGTCAGACTGAATGGACCCTTTGCATCCATTCTTCAGATCAAAAGGTGGCAACCTTTCTGATGCACACAAGGTGATCATGTGTTCTGAAGAACTGCAGCTGTCAAGGTTGTAGAAGCCAGAATCTAAATTGGACAGTCAACAGATGCAGTAAGATGGACTGATTTGTTGTTCTTTTCTGGGTTTGCCAACTGGAAAAAAAAATCTAGATTAAGAAAACTAAAGGCTTATTAAAATAGGTGAAGGTGATCATTACTTGGCCATCTAGATTGAGTTTAACAAGAACAAAGTTGTTAAAGAAGATTTGGTAGTGGCAATCCCTGATGCAAGAAGTGACAGGGCGCAATATCATTCACAGTTTGTCACTGTTACTATTTAGCTACTGTTTGCTTCCACCTTTCAGGGCAACATAACCTTCCTCCTTTTCTTTCCCTTAAAATACTGATTGAAACAAGATTTATAACAACAATCTTAAACATTATTTCATTTGGTGATAGAAACAACACATCATACACAGTTCACACAACTTGTGGGTTGTGGAGAAAAAAAAAAGAGGTCTGATCTCTCCCCCACAGTCTGCATTTTTGCACAAGGTTTTCAGAGCAATCACAGATGTTGGCAGACAGATTAAGCTTCCACTGTTCTGCTTCCTCTTTGCCATCTAGGTAAGGCCAATTAACAGTAGACCACCAAAGCACAGAAGAGCAAGAGATAAATTTTAATAGGCATGTAGTGGCAATGCATGATTGAGCAAAGCTACAAGATAGATTTGCTTTCCTGGCATTACAGGACGTCATAGATGCCCTGGCTTTGATGCTGAAAAGGGCAACTTGGAAGGCCATCTGGTTCTTCACTGATCTTATCAGGGAAGGGTAGGAACAAAAAAAAAAAAAGGGGCAGGTTCACACCACTGTTACTGATGGAACTGAAAGCCAGGTTCAGCTTATGCAGGCACATGCAGACGTGCAACATGTCATGTGCAAGAAAGCAAAAATGATTTTGCATGCTTGGTCAGTAACTTGTCATTAGCAACTTCAATTTAGATGCGGTGTTTCCTCTGTTTGTCTATAGATTGCTTCAGAATCACAATCTGAAGTTTTATTTGTAACAAGGGAAACATGTCATCTTCAGGTCCAACTCTGCATATACGGAGTAGGAGATAGAAAGGAAACTTAGTATGATTCATCATGAGTCATGAACAACTAGAACCATCAAGGAGAAGATAAAGGAAGGTGCAACTTGAGTTTTAAGAAGATGATGATGAAGAATGCTTCTTTCCCTCCTGCAGCAAGCTAGAAATATCCGAAATATCTTGGTTGAGTACCAAAGGTGAATGTATTTTAAATTTTAAAAAGACATGAAACAAAAGGTGAATATAATTTTTAAAAAAGAGGCAACTTGAGTTTTAAGAAGATGATGATGAAGAATGCTTCTTTCCCTCCTGCAGCAAAGCTATAAATATCTGAAATATCTTGGTTGAGTACCAAAGGTGAATGTATTTTAAAATTTTAAAAGACATGAAACAAAGGGTGAGTATATTTTTTAAAAAGAGACAAAAAAAAAGACGCCGTTGCCGGGGATCGAACCCGGGTCACCCGCGTGACAGGCGGGAATACTCACCACTATACTACAACGACCTTGTTGGTTTTCAACCAAAACATTTATATATGATCTTATTTAAACAACCAAAATCTCAGATACATACTGGTTAGTATGAAAGATAGCCTGTCACAGCATCATATGGACATCAAAGTTCATGCACTGATACAGACGACTCAAGTTTCTGAAGATATTCAGATGTTGTTGTTCCCTCCTATTATTCCATTCCCAGGCAAAATAATCTGACATTCAGAGTAGCAGATAAGCTGAGAAAGTTCAGCATCTCAAGAGTTGATACCAAACTTTTCATTGCGTGCACAATAGCATCTTGATGTGTTGATGCCGTGGATTATAATCAAATACAGTTCATCACATCATGTCCCAACAAGGCAACACATTGTCCACTACAACAATACAGGCAACAAATGGCTTTGCCATACCATTCACAATTCCAATTCCATACAAAAAAAAGAGGAACTATCTCACCTATTGACACTGCACTATAGATCAGAAATTTACAAGGACCGGATCATGGCTGCAGAAGCATCCCCTTGAGGCTTCAGTGTTGTGTGATTCTGTTGACCTCAGGTGCTGGTAGGAACATCTGCGCCAGCCACTGCAACGGTTTGATCAATTCTGCGCGCTTCTTCCTCCAGTACCAGATCGCAGCATTGTAGAACTCGTTGCGGATCTTCTTGGAAGCTGCTCTCCAGTCGCACTTCTCCATCTCGGCTCTAGCCGTCATCCCCATGTTGTCTCTGAATTCCTTGTCCGTCAGCAATAGCTGAATCTTGCCAAGACAGTCTTCGAGGTCTCCTGGGGTGAACAGGAAGCTGGTCTTCCCTTCCTGATCTTCTGGAATTATATCAGGAACACCACCAGCACGAGCTGCAACGACCGGGACTCCAGATGACATGGACTCCAGGACTACTTGACCAAGTGTTTCGGACTCCGAGGGCATCACGAAAACATCACCGCTGGCATATGCCTGTGATAGCTCTTCGCCTTGCATCATTCCAGTGAACACGGCAGGCATCCCCTCAAACATCTTCTCCAGCTCACTCCTGTCATGTAATTGCAGAGAGCATGTAAGGCACACTAGTGGCAAAAAGCCCAAAGTAATTGATTCACCGAAGGTGTCCAATGAACATTTTCTGTAAACCGACAATGCAATAAATTTTGAGCTGCCGCTGTTCATGACAAACTGGAAGCTTAGGAAAAAAAAAGATATAGTATATAAAATGGCAAGGAACCACATATGATATACCTGTATGGTCCATCTCCAATAAATGCAATTCTTACTCCAGGCAGCCTATCCATTACCCTGCTCAGTCATGATTCAAAATTAGATCGAAGAACATTTAGTGCAAGACAGAGAAAAATATGGTGTTAATCATGTTTGTCAAAAGTAAGTCAAAAACCACATAAAACACAAAGTGTAGTAAGTATATAGCTCACGTTTTCAGAAAATCCAAGTTCTTTTCACGCCCAAAGCGTCCTACATGGATTATCAATGGTTTTTCAGGCTCACCGTCACTGAAAAGAATAGATATATAGCAGAAGTGTATGTAAGCAATTAATCTCAACCATGCACGGGAAATTCAGAGGGAAATGAAGTATGATGCCACCTTAGTCTAACTCGCATTTCGTGACTGCGGAACTTGGGATGGAAACTGGCTGAATCAACACCTTTGTTCCAAAGGCGTATTCTATTAGCTGAACAAGGAGGTAACATATATAATATTGACATGGGTACACAGTGTATACCAAGAAGGCAGAAAATAAGATCTGAACATGTAATACAGATATGGACCAACCTGATATAACATGGGCAGTTTCAAAATCTTTGCTGATAGCAACAGATGGCACTAATGTTAGATCAGCAGCTCTATGAAGGAACCCTGTTTGCCGGATCGAATCAATGTTTTCATCACATAAAAATCTGACTGTTTATGAAAGTATAAATGAAATGGGAGTATAATGCTTACTTATGACTTGCCACATTGGCTCTACAAGCCAGCTAAATGTATATCTTGGAATGTATCTGCAGGGGGAAAAACATTAGTACAGCTATGATGAATAGCTCAAAATAGTTCATATAATACTTCCAGTATTGCCACCCGCTAAAAGGCTTTTACTGGGAAATGGCGATCAAATATCAACATACATCTATAATATATGCAAATCCCTTTTTATGGTTGGTCATAAACTTTACAATAAAAAAACCTGAAATGAAATATGAACAGTAAACTACTGAATTGCCCAGGAAAAAAAAGAATCTGTTGCAGTATAATTCAGTATTTACTTACACTGGGACATGGGTGTGATAGGACATCACTAGAGGGACACCGAGCAGTTTAGCAATAGCAAGTGCCCCAAAAACCTGTATGTCCAACAGAGAGGCATCAAATTTAGTGGTTAAGTAGTAGACAATATTTGATGATTAGCTTGGTTGTCAGTATGAAATTACCATAATTCCAGGTGAGGATGCATGAATGATGTCAGGCTTGAACTTTGCAACCTCCGAAATAATCCTAGGACTGAGTGCCAGCGAGAGAGGAACTTTTCCATACATTGGACAGGGAAAGCTGGAAAGGATGAGCAAACAGCTGTAAACACAATAATAGGCCACCAAAAGGCACTACATATCATATGATTCAACAAAAAAGATTCTGATGCTTCCACTTTTCAAAGCTTGATATCTAGTATACTGTATTTACTAGTTCATATAACTAGATTATTTTAAGAAGCTGGTACTTGAATTGGTTTATGAATTGAGCTATAACTAACGGAATGACCTAAACCCTAACTGTATCAACTAAATTAGAAATTAAACTGTTCATGAAGTAGACCGTAATTGTGGTAGTTAAAGTTTCTGTTGCAGTGTTGGTGCTCATTAGGTGGTCCCCATTTTCGTTTTCGAAACAGTAGTTTTACAAGTCTTGAGATCTTCGGTAGTTCAGTAGCTACTGCCTAAGCTGCTAATATCCTAAGATATAAAAGTAGAAAGAAGTATCTTGAGTTTACCTCCATGAACCAATAACCTTGGCACCATGGAATTCTTGGGGAACCCCCTCATGGTTGGTCACAACAATCACCTGCACGCACAAGACATGTACAAAATGAAGTCACAAACTAGCAACCTATAATTTTCAACATTTCTAGCTTTTTGCTGAATTTACCTCATCCCCCATTTCGCGCAAGTGCTTGATGAAGTTCTGAAACCGGTTCTTGTACCCAGAGATGTAACTGCAAACATGAAACATGAAAGATGAAAACTTGCTCAAAATACGAATCAAACATTCAAACCAGAATGAACAATATAGGTCATTCCTCTGCTCATATTAGGCAAGAAAAATGCAATAATTCGCTTCCCGTCCTTACTACTACTAATTCATCTTAATCAAAAAATATAATACTAATTCATCAGCTAATTGGGGGTTGGCTTCCTTAATCTCCACACTTAATTCACCTGAAGTTTACTCCATTTTTGTCCTATCTTCACGAATCCCAAGACCCGAGAAGGATCCAAAAACTCTTTCGACAAACCAAGCAACCACAAGAAAGTAGTGAACAGACTCATCGATCTGGACAAGAATGCGTGCAAAGGCCAGCTATGAAACCCCTCAAAACCCCAAGAAAGAGAGAGAGAGAAAAGTCAATAATCCTTACGCGAACGGAGACGGCTCGACGAAGAGCGCGACGCGGCGAGGGCGCGCGGCCTCGTCGAGCAGCAGCGGCGGCGCCTCCTCCATCTCGTCCTTGATCTCGGCCCCAATCACCATTGCCAAGAAACCCAAGAACACAGCACACACACAAAAAAAAAAGAAGAAGCAATCCTTCTCCTCGCTACCGGCGTTTGCGTGCGCCTCGAGTCGACGGTGTTGTGGTGGAGCAAGGAAGAGGAGGAGGAGGAGCTCGACACGCCGCGTATATAAGCGAGGCGAGGAAGAAGAAGAAGAGGAGGAAGAGATTGGAGTGTGGAGTTGGGGAGTAGGGAATTGTGGGGGATATTCCATGGGAGGGGTGGAGAATATTGGAGGGAAGGGAACCAAGCTGGGAACTTTGCAAGGCATATGCCTTTTTTTTTTCTTCTTCTTCTTCAGCTAAGAGCAGATACAGTAGCAGCCTATAAGCCAGCTATAAATATATTTTAAAGAGATAAAAGAAAAGAGAGAAGAGCAACGGGCTACAGATCTATAGCCAGCTGCAGCACGGACTCCAAAACGTAATGTGTGTATGACAGATGGGACCAGGTATAGTATAGTAAGCAACTATTATATGAATTGGCTATTACATTGACTATAAATGATTTGGAGCTAGTAGTGGGCTATACTATTAAACTTGCTCTAATCCAAATTGCAGTTTTTCTTTTGCAATGATTGGGTGGAGATCTCATTCTCACCTTTTTTTTTTACATCCAAATCTGCAGTGATGTGCAAGTAATAAATGTCTCCTACAAAAAATGCCTTTTTTTATAACACTGGCTATTTTGCTAAATATAGGCAAGTACTAAAAATGCCTTTTTTTTAAGGGGGAAATAATGTTGTTGTAAACTAGGCATGGTCAATGACTCAATGGTACTCCTACAAATTTTTTTTTTTTGAATATTTCTCGTTCTGCGTCCTTTTAAAACAGCATCCGTGTGGTGTCAAAAAAACAAAAACAGCATCTGTGTGCTTTGATGTGAGATGCTTGGGGATGAGAAAAATTTGAGAGATAAGAGAGTGACTATTTAAGAAAATACTCCACAGGTGATGGCCACTTGTGCTCAAAGATAAATTTGTAGCCGTTGGAATTCAGACTCACCTCTGTCACATGTCTTCTTTTCATTTTTACAGTTTTGCCAATACATATGGAGGTTATTAGAAAGGATATGGCAATTGGCATATTTTATATTGTCAAGGGAGAGAATCCTGATAAATTTTCATGTGGTCTACGCATGTTGTGCGAGGTATATTCTCAGGAAGTCTTTGGTACCAATGGATCAGCTAATTATTCTATGCCAATAATTAGTACCATGCTCCACCCCCGAATAATTACATTTATTGGCTAATAAGAAGAAGTCAGCCAAAAAAAATATTGAATTGTTCTACATGTAATAAATCTTGCTTCTTGCTTTGCATGGTCGATTAAGATTAGTACAGGACGTAACTTAGAGGGAAACAGAGGAATAAATTATGGCGGATTTATATCATAATGAGATGATTACATCATGTTGGCATGGCATCTCTGGAAAGGCAACGCCAAAACATACAGCTACAGGACAAGATCACAACTGGCCTTTTCGGTCTAGCAACCACCTGATTTCAATTTAAGATGCCCTCTTTTTTTAGACACATTAATAAGATGCCTTTTGAACCAAAATGAAAAAGGAACATACAGGGCCAAAATAAAACTTGGTGGCTGTTGTCCCAATTGATAGACGAACTGATGAGCAAGATAATGATACTGACAGATACCATCATACAGACTCCAAAAACAAACAGAACACAGCAGAGTGTTTTGGCCAAAAAAACAAAAAACAAAACCAGTGGGGTTCTTGAATTTCAAATTACATGCATGATAGATTGATGGATCATGCAAAAGAAACATTGAACTGGAATTTGCAGTAACAGCTGCAATGGCGGGCAGGTTACCAGCTTCTCTGTCCATGTTTTTCTCTTGGACAGAAACGACAGCTGCAACGCTGTCCCAGCAGCACGTGAACCCAAGGCACCAGTAGTCCAGTAGTACTAGCAACCATCATCATACAGTAACAAACATACCGGTACCACATCATCATGTGCAAAAAACCACCAGGCCTCCCAGATTTCAATCTTGATCCGTGATGTCACTGAAAGATAGGTTTTTGAGTGAGTCAACAATGTAAGATGCTCGCAGGTTGCTTGCACGCAAATCTGAATACCATGAGCTCACAGATATTCAACTGTTGCTGTGTTTTGATGTGTATGCAAAAAGTTGAGTAGCTACAACATCCAGAACTACATGTTGTTATTATACACTTCATAAGTTACAGCCCGAAATAACATGCTACAAGCATAACTATGAAGGAGAGGTGAATTTTATGCTCAGAGTCTGATCAGAGAAATAAATGCAGATAGGTGGAAAAAATTATTGATGATGAGTGTTAAGACCTCAAAGGGCATCTCGAGCAGCAATCCTGCATACAATTGCATCGGGCAGTGTAGATATTGATAGTTCCTGGGGAGTTATTTTATAATGCTGCCAATAGGAAATTGAAAACAATGTGACATTCAGGACAAATCATATGAAAAACATATTAGCATATAATTAGCACAAAGTTCAACTAAAAACCTTCAGGATCTGTGGCTGGTTTGCTCTTGTTTCCAGTTCCGCTAGATCAATCTCAGTGCCACAGATGAGCTTCTCCACAGCTTTTATCTGCCATATTGCAAAATTTTCACATCACGGTTGTTTGAATTCCTTCACTCAGAAGGACAATAACTCGTAGAAAATGCATAGGAAACAGAAATTGATAGTACGCCTCTCAAGTTCTTCGGGACAGCAATTTCGTGACAAACTCCAATGCATATAACTGGGGTATGTAATTTTGATGTATGTTTAAATCTCTGTTAGAGAACACGTCTGAATTTCAAAATTTCTTCTCTTTATCATATTATGCAGCACATAATCACAAAAACTCACATAGGGATCTAAACAGAGCAGCCTGTCATGTAAATTTTGGTCTGGTAAAAATGCTGGTTTTCTCAGCAAAAGTGAGAGGTGTAAACCAGGATACAGAGATATGTATAGCATACTTTATTCTTCGCAAAAAAAGAAATACATAATACAAAAAAATGCTTCAAGTTATCCACTAAGAAAGTAAGAAGTCAATACCACAATCTTTTGATTCAAGGTCCCATAAAGAGAGTGTACTGTTAACACCATAACTTGAAAGTTTCAGCAATTCTATGTCTTTTATATGTCAATCTAATTGGTGATGCATGCAACCTTAAAACCGACTTGTTGCACCCACAGTAATGGAATTGAAATGTGACATCCAGGCAAGATATGATGATTCAAAATATATATTGACACTGAAACCACTAACGCTAGCCAACTCAAAAGGAGATATCATTATTGGCTAAAAGGGTGTCCTGGCTTCTAAATATGAACAACAGCGACTCCGCGAGCAACTAACGCACTAGAACTTAGTTCCTTAAGATCCCTATCTCGAATACAATACCTCCTCATTCGAAGCATCAAAACGAGCTGCAAGGATATAACTCGTGTCGTCGGAGATTCCGCATCGTTTCAAAGACTCCGTTATCTGAAACCCAAAAAAACAGCACAAAAACCATCAACAAATCACATATCAGCACAATCTCATCTCACCATTTTAGAACAAGAACAAATAATAGGTGACCAGACTACCCACATGCTTAGACCCGGAGTAGTTATAGACGAGCTCCGAATGCAGAGTTCTTGTGGTCAGAGACTCCCTCCCCTGCGACACCACCGCCTTGTGCGCCGCCGCGAGAACCGGGAACACATCCGGCACCTGCCATAGTCGACATGTAAATAAAATACAAAGAAATCATCGAGTGATCGATCGAGTCCTACTGCTGATGTAGAATACAGAAAGGGACAATGGCGACGATTGTATGTACCAGTGATGCGTTGAGGAATGCGACCTCCGGCTCCAGCTTCCCTGACTGCATCAGCTCGAGGAGCTCCCTGACAAGTACGAGAAGGCCAAGATATTTCCTCTCATCACCCCCACAGTTCGTAGCTGGGACCAAGAACTCGGTGGAAGAATCGATTGGTGAGGAAAAGGAGATTGGCAGCGAGTGGCGTACCAGCTGTTGGAGACGTCGGAGAAGAGGCCGAGGGAGACGCTGCGGCCTCCGGCAACCGGGAAGCTCTTCATCTCTCTCTCTCCGGCGAGCGGCGGCGGCGGCGGTGGAACCCTATTCTTGTCGGAGTCGAGGAAGATATATATTTAGCTATTGACGGAAATGCCCCTCTTGTAGCTTCGGCTTTGAGATTCGTGCAGGGGTGGGATCCTGGCCGCAGGAAAGATTTTTTTTTCTATTTCCCTCCGAATCCGAAGCGAGGTGAGGAGGAGGAGATAAGGCCGCGCGCTCTCCACCACCACGGCCGCGAATGCAATTACCCGCCATGAGTTGCTCGCCGTCGCAGTCCTCCGCCGCCGCTGCCGCGGCGGCGTACGGATGCTGCCAGCGCATCCTCCTCGCGTCGACCTCCTTGCCGGCGACGGGGAGGCCCGCCCGCCTCGGTCTCAAGCTTCGCTCCACCCACTCGCTTCAGTTGCGTTTCTTGGTTTTGGTTGGACTTGCTTGTTTGTATATTTCTATTTCCATTGTTTTAGGAGTAGTAGTAACTGTGCTATATGCAGGATCAGGAACCGAAGGTTTGTCTGCCAGGCAATGACTGAGACTGAGCCCGACGGCGACGGCAATGGCGACGAGGTAGTTACGTGTGTTTACCCCCTTGTAAATTCTTGGGTTAGGTAGTGATCTGCAATTGGCGTGCCATGATTCACAGTTACACTTCTGTTGTATGGGCGACTGAATGTTAATAGTGTATGTTTATCATTTTTTTCGCGAACGGTGTATGTTTATCATTTTGCAGAGAATTCGCGGATGGCCTACTGTGCTTTGAAGTTTGAAGTGGGAAAACTCAAATCATCCCTTAAGGGGATATCCCCTCATTTTTGCATCTCACCTTGAAGTGTCGCATTTTCGATGTTTCATCATCTATCCATGATATCCGCATGTGCTTCTTTCAACTGAATTCAGTGTCGCGTTTTCTGATGTAGTGGTGAAATATTCAGTGGAGTTAAAGCGACTAAAAAATGTGGAATTGATGAGTAAGTTCATGTTATTCATGTTAGTAGGAATCCAAGGGGGTAAACATGTTTTCTCTTTTGTTTGTTTCTTCCAGGAGAAAGAAGAGCTTGGAGATGATGCTTCATCACCTTCGGTTGATAGTGTTACACAAGAAAATGGATCTGCAGAAAGTGAGACTAATGCAGATAATGTACGTTCCTTACTCTTCTGCAGTTGCTCAAAATATAAGTTTGTACAATGCAAAAGTAGGTTACCATTTGTGATGTCTTGATTAGCCCAATACTTGCACTAACACAGTCACTTGCGTTAGTTATGTCAGTATGCCTGTTAGTCCTAGCTACATGAACCTGTAACTGAACTATAATATTTAGCTTTCCCATGCCTCGCCAGACGAAAGACGAAACTGTAAATACAGAACCACTCAGCTCCAGTGACACAGTTCAGAACATTGATGGAGATGCTACTCCAGCCAGTGATGCACAGGTATACTTCTACCTGATGTCACTGCAACTTTAATTATCGTACTATACATTGAAAATGCAACCATTACATGTATAACATTCTGTTATAAATAGGAAAATGTGGAAGTAGTTGATGTTGCTGTCGGTTCACCTTTGCCAGGAATGAAGGTAAAATCCCTTACTAATCTTTATGGTGCACGTGTTTCTAAGTTCAGTAGGAATTCAAAAACAAAGATGGATACCTCTTGTTTCTTGCATTCAAAATCAAAGCAGGAATCAAAGATGGCTATTGAATTGAAAAATATGTAATAGTACTATTTTGATCTTATATTACTGAATTCTGGAACCCGACGAGTGAGGCTTATGATTTACATTTTAAATCACAATGATATGCAGCAACAACTTGATGAATCTGTCAGGATCCCCAAGGCTACAATAGACATTCTCAAGGATCAAGTTTTTGGTTTTGACACGTTTTTCGTGACCAGCCAGGAGCCTTATGAGGTTACTATCTGCATATCATGGTTTACCACATATTGTGTGCAGCATATTATATTTATAACTTTGTTAGTTAGAATACCATATCACTTGAAAATGTTCAGTTAATAATTGAGTTTATAAAGTTCCATCCGTCCTCAACTCATACATAGTTATACTCAGTGATGCATATACTTTATATTCTGATCTGAAATGTTCATATGTAAATAAATATCGAATTATTCAAAACAACTAACTCTGCTTACTGCCTTCACTTTTTTATAAAGGGTGGAATACTGTTTAAGGGAAATTTGCGTGGTCAGCCAGCAAAAAGTTATGAGAAGATCACAAATCGGCTGCAGGTAATAGGACACTCTTCAGAAGTATAAGATTGTACAAATGTTTGAATGTCTAATCTATTTTCAATTCTTGGATATCAACAGAACAAATTTGGTGATCAATATAAGCTTTTTCTTCTCATTAACCCAGAGGATGATAAGCCAGTTGCAGTAGTTGTACCTAGGCAAACATTGCAGCCTGAAACTACAGGTAATAAAATTATCGCCTACCTTTAGTGAAGAACTTATTAGTTGCCTCTGAGAAACTGAGAATGAACTAGTATATTGCTTAATTGTTAGGAACCTATAAGTTTGTTGGCTTTTACATTGACCTTTGAGGTTTCTGATTTGATTTTTGTGAATTAAATGTTCAGCTGTCCCAGAGTGGTTTGCTGCTGCTTCATTTGGAGTAGTTACCATCTTCACCCTTTTGCTCCGAAATGTACCTTTGCTACAGGACAACTTGCTGTATGAGGTTTCTCTTCCCTTTATTCACCACCGTCCTTCATTCGATGGTGTATATTGTTTGCTTTTACTGAAAAAGAATAAGTGGTTGGTTTCATGTGACTAGCCTGGTATGATTTTTGATTAAACATGTGCATATGTTTTTGTGTCGAAATCTTCTCAAATTGAACTTTGATGTTTCATGCGGAACAAAAAGATCTATGCATCTAGAATCTTGACGCTTGATAGAGCTTGATAATATGATAGTAAAACCTGCATCTTCCTTAACATGTAGCATTGATATTTCCAACTCCATTACTTCTATATTCTGATGCATGCAGCTAAATATTGCTATTATTTTTGTTTTTAAGGAAAAAAGGGCACCATAACATGTTTTTTCCTTGAGTACCTTGTCATATCAACTCATGCATTAGTCCATAACTTCTGTTTATGGGTATTTTTTTCCAGATCAACATTTGATAACCTTGAGCTATTAAAAGATGGAGTTTATGGCGCCCTAGTAACTGCGGCCATAATAGGCGTTCATGAGATTGCACATATCCTTGCTGCTAGGGATACTGGAATCAAGCTTGCCGTACCATATTTTGTTCCTAGCTGGCAGGTAAGCTTCCCTTTCTTTTTCAAGTCTACAATTTCACTTTAGGAATATATTGTTCGAGTTACCAGAAAATACTTATATCTTTATAAGTTGACATTTTCATAATCTCAGGTGATTTTTCTTATCTCCTTTGCTAGAAAACCTGCTAGTACAAAGAAACTGTGAGGTCTGAAGTACACTTTTGGCATAACTAAGCAACTCATATGATAGGCCTCTTTTAAAATGGCCAGCAAAAAAAGGCCTCTGTGGAGACTTTGGGAGCCATGGCTTTGGGGATTTTCGTGTGCTTGCGCACCCATAATGGGTTATTTATTTAACTAATTGCTTAATCTTACCATAAAATGTCAGACTGAAATGGTTATATTTATTGTAGATAGGATCTTTTGGTGCTATTACCAGAATTGTCAATATAGTCCGCAATCGTGAGGACCTACTGAAGGTAGCAGCTGCTGGACCATTGGCAGGGTTCTCCCTTGGATTTGTTCTTTTGCTGCTAGGCTTCATCTTACCTCCAAGTGATGGCCTTGGCCTTGTGATAGATCCAGCAGTATTTCATGAATCATTTCTTGTTGGTGGTCTTGGTAGGCTCCTTTATCTAAGTTCATAACTACACAAGGAATCCTCTTTTTTCTGGATTTTCATTATTACTTGCTTGCCTTCAAGCATTTTTTTCAAGAACATTGGATGGACTATTCACATAAATGGAACTTTGATGAACTTCAAAACTTTGTATTTGATATATTTTCCCTTGGTACAGCAAAGCTTATTCTTGGAGATGCTCTAAAAGAAGGAACAAAACTATCCATAAATCCACTGGTCTTATGGGCCTGGGCTGGTCTCCTGATCAATGCCATCAATAGCATCCCTGCAGGAGAGCTTGATGGCGGCCGCATAGCATTTGCCATGTGGGGAAGAAAGGTAAAGAAATCATGTTGCTATTGTAAGTTTGTATCTATAGATGTGACTACTGGCTGGCTACCTGAAGCTGGAAAGAACTGCAATCTCTCATCCTTGACTTGAGACAATTGTAATGAATCTCAACCTGACTTTGTAACAGATATCGTCTCGAATCAGCAGCTTGGCCATTGGACTTCTTGGAATTTCAGCTCTCTTCAACGACGTCGCGTTCTACTGGGTGGTGCTGATCTTCTTCTTGCAGAGAGGACCGATTTCCCCTCTCTCTGAAGAAATAACAGAACCTGAGAACAATTACATCAGCATTGGTGTAGCCATCTTGCTCTTTGGACTTCTTGTCTGCCTACCCTACCCATTCCCCTTTGATCCATCACAACTAACTGATTTTGACTTGTGAAACAAAATCAGTCACAGGTCACAAGCTTTCTTCCTCCCAAATTTATGTTAGATGCTGAGATGTATGTAACCTGTCGGCTCCCTGTTTTATTTATCTTAGCCTTGGTCATAAAGATTTGGAGTCTATGAGCTCCATTGCTCCTTGCAGTAGCAAAATAAAATGCAGGAGCATTCCTGTGGTAGTTCAGTTGTTGTAGTAGTATTTTGGTAGGATGCATCAGTGTAGAACAGCATATGAGCAGTTGAGCACATGATTCTGGATGTAATTTTATCAGTGCAGTAGTTTTTTGCATTAAGGATGTATAATTGCCTAATTGGAGTATCTGTTGGTAGGAAGAGTAACACCTTATTACAGAGCGCAAGATTCAGCAGCATTTTGGCCATTGACCCTTACCCTTCAGAGAATTTGCTACTAATTGACTTACCAATTTGGAATTTACAAGATTACAGCAACAGTTTTACGGCAGCAGTGACTGTCTCCTGAGAAAATATTACTTGAAAGAAAAAATGCTACTAAATTTACATTGCTGATACAACAACAGAGAAAAATGTCAATACAGTTCAGCCGGGGAAACACATGTGACTACCAGGCTGTAGCGCGAAATCCGCTACAAGATGGTGTCAAAGACTCAAGGGGCTAAGAAGACCTAACTTAAACTCCCAAAGTACTGAAAATGATACTCAAGGACTGAACACATAAAAGACGCTTTTCAATAGCATATAAGGTCCAGAATAAAGTTGCACATGGAGCAGCTCGCAACATAACATGAATAAACCGGATAAATATTGGACACCCAATGAACTACATATGAGAATAGGAACCCATCAGGTCATCTTGGAGATGATCCTCCCATCGCTGCTCTGAACATTTTAAGGTCGTAAACCTTCGCAGGAATCATAACTATTATACTATCAAAGAAGCAAATCATCGCCTGTATTGTCCTGCCCTATCACTGCACAACTCATCATCGATTTCGATGCTGTCCAAGCACATCAGGTTGTTGTTGACGCTCGGCTCAGAACTGGCATTGCTGCTTGTTGCAAGAGGAGAGTCTGAAACACTAATTGGTCTGCTCCTTGTAGACCCTGACCGTGCGCTATGCACAGAGGATGCTGGTATGCTTGTCATAAGAGGCCGTAAATTGTTTGGAATGCTGCGCCGTATGTCCTGTGTACAATAATACACATCAAGTTCAAGTTAATTGAACATAGAAATTTATTGTAGTATTGACTATCTTAGAGAAAGTAGTGTACCATATGTCGAAGAGCCATGTCAAGTGACTTTTTTGACAATGTCCTACCGAAGCCAGAGCTATCTGGAGAGTTTGATGATTTTCCAGATAGACCGTTGAGGCTGGATCTTTGGTCATCATGTTTTGGAGGAACTAGCCTTCTCATGTTCACTACCCTCTCAACCATCTTATTACCCATTTGAACAGGATTGACACTGTCACCACTATTAAGATGTGATCTTCTCACTGCTGGCACCGAACTACCTGAAGGCACACTACCATTTAAAGTCCTCCCTCTAGAAGGAGAGCAAGACTGCCGTCTTGGCCGAGCAGCTGGCCCAGGCTCCACAGAGGAAGACCTAGAACTAGGAGCTCCAGGTCTGCCACGAGTAGCAGAGGTTGGTCTTTCTGGTAGTGATGTCCTCAGATTTGGAGGAGCGTCAAGTGAGAAGCCAGGCATTTCAGATGGCTTCCATGGTCTCGATTTGACAGTAGGTGAGCTGCCCCTTGAAGGTGTTGACGCTATAGTTTTTGCCGGTGAAGAACTTTTGGACATTGTAGGGGCTGGTTTGGAGATTGAGGTAGATCGAACTGGTGCAGCCAAGCTACCATGTTGGGTGGAAGTGGCAGAAGGCCGTCTTGTTGGGGTTGATGACCTTGATACTGGCTTGCTTTGTGCTGGTATGGAGGGCCTGGATGATGGCGTGGATGACCTGGTAGCAGGTATCGATGATCTTGAAGTAGGTGTGGATGACCTGCTAGCTGGTGCTGATGCTCTACCTGAAGGAATTGATGTCCTGGTAGCAGGGCCAGATGTTCTTGAAGGTGTTGTTGACCTTGCTGAAGTAAGTGTTGACCTGGAAGTGGGAGTTGATGATCTTGGGGCAGGAGGTCCAGACTTAGAAGGTACAGTTGCCCGAGATGTGGGGGTTGAAGGTCTTGAACCTTTGGAGGTATTGGTCAGTGCAGGCCGCCCAGTTGGTGTTGAAGGCCTTGATGAATTAGATGTGTGCCCTCCAGAAGATGACGGCCTACGTGTTGTGGCAGCTGAGTTCAAGTTGTTTGATGATGTTGCTCTCAATGGAAGGGTTGTTCTTGATGGAGGATCTGGATGATTGGCCAACTGGAGTACCACAAACAAAGAGATAAAATAGAAAGTTAACGAAGATGTAAAACAGTCAAGAACACAAGTCATACTTAAGATAAGTAATGTAACCGGTGAAACTAAAATGCATACTAATAATGAAGAAACGGTTTATCTTTATGATAGACAAGCGAAAGGCTTTTCAGTCAAAAGAAAAATAATCTAAAAGCATGATTTAAACTAAATGTCCGACATAATAAAATGCTATATTCAAGGAAAATATGTTGACAGGTCTATGAGAAGATAGATTATCCTTGGAGAGTCTGTTTGTTAATTCCTTGGATGGTAATTTGAATCAACTTAAGATACAGTGAAGCCACTTTTGGTCCATAGATTCATTCAGATCAAATCATTTGATATCCACCAAGAGAGGAATTTCTTTTGCTGAGGTGTATTTATCATGATCAATAGGCTAACCCTTGATTTTAAGGCAGTTGGGCGAGTCTTTGGGGTTCCAGTTTGGCTCACTGGGGACTTTTTTGACTCTTCTAGAGATGGAAAAAGTGGAGTTCCTGGTGGAGTCAGAAGCCTGAAAGCGAACAAGTCTGCTGTGAGAAAGGCTGCACAATTACTTTTAAATACTTAAAATTTGAATATAGAAGATGCAAGGAACAAAATGGCAAAAAATGCAACATGTCAGAGGTCATCATACAAAACAATTTTAATACAAAACAAGGAAATCATTTCAAAACTAATTCGCTCACATAGACTCAGATTGAGCACTTCTGATGAAATATGCCAGAGTCTGGTAAGAGCATTTTTTATGAATATGCAGCACTGTGTGATTTATGCACTTGGTTTAACTAACTTCACCACCCAAGAACAATTACAGTAAACCTTAACAAAGTTGAATAACCAAACCAGCACTTCTACAACCACACGAAAACTGACAAATACCCTGTGATTTGTTCCACAATCAGACAATCTAACTGTCACCTACCAACCAAACATCACCTAGCAATCAAATAGTCAAACTCATAACATAATTAAGTGTTAGCATGGCTATCTAGATATCAAAATACTCCCAGAATAATTCTACACCCTATCCTAAATGCGCCTAACTTTCCCACACCTATTGATGCGTGGAACTCACAGAAGGACAGTCATTTACGCACCTACCAAATAAACTTCAAGTCAATTAGGACAACGATAAGTAGCTCATAGGGGCTAAGAATAAGGTATCAAATGTTAAAATGTGTGTCCAATACTCAGGCACTAAATTTACAGAAAGCAAAACCACGTTACAGACAAACTATCTATTTAACCAACCAAAAAAGCAAAGAGAAGGAACTGAGACCAACTAAAACACAACAAATTGACAGGTCCACAAACAGAGCTCTTCCAGAGGTCATGCCTGTAGCGGTGCAACCAGATTACACCACCTAAAGCGCTTAAGCGCAATAACCAAAAGCAAAGAGCACAACTTTATGTGCAAGCATTAAATCAGGAAACTAACTAAAGAGAGAAAGAAGCAATAACAAGGGTCAACAAGAGACCCAACAGTAACCTCAACAACCGGTACCACCCTCACCAACTTTTCCAGAAACAACAGCTAAATTCTAACTAACACCGGATTCACACAAAAGCCACTCTTTATGCATAGCGTCAAAAAAATTAATTGATTAAAGCATCAACCGCAGAATTAAAAGTATGAAATTAAGGGGGGCAATTACATTTTCGAGGGGTTAATCAATTATACAATGAAGCATTAGCTGAAATCGCATAAACATCAGAGACAATCAACAAGCTAGTAACTATAATTCAGAATTAACAAACTACCGGTCAAAATTTTATCGCCAACAAAGCTACAGCACAGTAAAATAACCAAACGTTTGGGCACCCAAGAGAAAACTCTGCAAGTCTCGCAAAATTTCCTGCAATTTCGGCTACAGAACAAAGAATAAACCGCATTTCACACCATTGCAGTACAAATTAGCTCCAGAGCAAACGTTCTCGCACCAACGCATGTGTCACACGCACAACTAAAACACCACAAAATCTACCAGATAGCAGTGGTATCCAAAACTTGTAGTAATTCGAAATCAGCAGCAAACGCACCAGTCGTAATCGTTCTTGTCGCCGCCGTCCGAATTGAGGAAGTCGTCGGCGCCGCCGGGCGCTCTCCTGAACCCGCCGGTCATCCTGTACGCCGCCGCCTTGTGCTCTACCACACACATCACCCCCCAAAACCCCAGACACTGGTAAGCTAGGGTTTCGCCCAACACAAGAGCAGAATAAAAAAGCGAACGAACGGCAGCATCCCGTCCCCCGCGGAGCTCTCTCACCGGCGGGAGGCTGCGGGCGCGGCGGCGGTTGGTCGACGAGAAGCATCCCATCCCGCGCCACGTCGACGCGGTCCCCGGAAAGCAGCAGCTGCTCGGCCGCCGCGGCAGCGGCAGCAGCGCCGCGCTCCTTCTCGCGGCGGCGCATCTCGAGGAAGAGGGCCAGCTCCTCGTCCTTCTCCTTGATGACCGCCCCCAGCGTCCGCCCCCTCCCGTCGCCGCCGTCCCCCGCCGCCGCCGCAGCCATGGCCACCCGATGCATCGATCCGGAAACCCCCTCAACACCTCACTGTCCCGCCGCGGCAGCCGCCCGTGGCATTACCGGCTAGGGTTCCGGCGAGATCTAGCCCCCGCGCGCGCGCGCGTGGAGGAGGAGCAGTGGGAGTGAAGCAAACGGCAGCGAGGAGAGGAGGATGGGGACAGTGGCAGCAGCGAACAAACAAAAAAGGCTTTTGAGCTTGAGCTGAGCTGAGCTGAGCTGAGGATGAAGATGAGAGTGAAGTTTGAATTTGGTGGAGATGAGAGTGAGAGATTGGATGGGGGGATTAATTTTGGGGGGTTTTTAATACCCAGATTTGAACTGCAGATGGACTGTTGTTGTGTGTGTTTAATCTGGTCTGGCCACACTCTGGGTCTGGGGCCCTGTGGGACTTTGAATTTTTTGAATAGGGGTAAATGCAACCTGCACTTTTTTTTTTCTGAATAGTACTTCTAGATACAGATATTACAATGACCATGGTAATTTTTTAGTAGGAGTTGTAGTAGATTAGTGGTAATGTACCTGCATTTGGTCCTTGAAATAATGTGAATCTATGTGGGTTTAGGGACTTGCTATTTAGGTGGTTCCACCTGGGCCTTTTTATTTCTTGTCTTGCACGGTGCCAGCACATTAATGAAAAACAATGTACATGTGACTTTGAATGTTTTATTGTCTCCAGAAATTTTCCGCAATTGCAAAGTAGTACTACTATTAGGAGTAAGTAAAGAGCCGATGTGGCCACCTCGGTCTGTTTGCAACTTTCATCCAGACTAAACAAACCCTTATCAGTTATCATTATTATCTACCTACTGAAATGTAGCGTTCCAAAAGTAGTACTTCCTCCTTCCAAAAAATCTAAAAATCTAAGATCTATTTCATTCTTGGGTTTTTTTAAAAGTCTAAATCCTATTTGTAGTCATTATGTGCTAAATTAAATTATTGATAGGAACCCAAGAAGCCATTTTAATGTTTATTGGTTGTATGTTCATTGGTTTTGTCACATGGTGAATGAATTAATTGCCTATTAGTCTTGGTGAAAAAGAAATATGACTCAGATTTTTTGAAGGAGAGAGTATTATTTGGCTTGGTTACGTGTGTAGATAAAGCTAATGCAAATAACTTAACCAGAGTAGCATCAGTCGTGGATGTATAATTCTGCCTATTATATTTCAAATCAAATTAAGTGGATTCTAGGGGTTTGTTGATGGTCTCCGTTTATTTGAGGTGTGTTGACTGTTGAGGGACGTAGGAGTTCTTGTGTTAGTGTGTGCGCGTGACACTTGTTCAGGCGAGCTTGAGAGAGAAATTACCTTGTTTTTCACGCGCACGCTTCCCAAAATAATAAACGATGTTTTTTTTACATAGTTTTATATAGGAAAGTTGCTTAGTGGCTATTGATAATTGCTCTTCGTTATAACAATTGTGCCATAGTAATCTATTATCTATACTACCAGTGACACGTAGGTTATGAGGTAGTAATACTACATGAGGTCAATGTTTTGATCTATTTTTTCAACACCAGTTCACCCTTTTTTAAAAAAAGGGAAACGAAGAATCTTATTTGAATTAAGTAAAGATATAGTTTCTTTGTTTCATATTATAAGACTTTTTAACATTGTATACGTTCATATATATGCTAATGAATCTAGAAATATATGTGTTTAGACACATTAATATTATATGAATGTGTGTAATGTTAGAAAGTATTATAACCTGAAATAGAGATCATATGATTTTTCTTTTCAATTAGGAGAATCAGCTTTTCTTTAATCTATCTACATAAATACATAATCTATTTAGCTAATACTTCTACAGTACTCATATGCCGTGCGGGCAAGACATCTCTGCTTTCTTTTTTTCTTGCGACTATTGTCCTCCAAACTCACGCAAGCAACGAAAAGCTTAAAAAAACTCCCGTACCTACATCCGATGATCCAACCACTATAAGCCTGGGCCCCACCAGGCACCGTCCCCACCAATCAGCTACACACACGTCCCATCGTCTCCATGCCAAGCGCGGGCCCCACTCGTGACGCACCGCCTTGTCCCGAACCGAATCGACCTTTTGTACCAGCCACTCCGTTTACCCGTCCAGTGCCGCGCCGTTAGGCCCCTAGGGTGGCCCACCTATCAGTGGGATAAGTTCGCCCGCCGCCGTGTGTAACCGAACGCACTTGGTCATTTCTTACTTTCTTTCTTTTTTTTTCTGAAGAAGAAAACTCACCTGGTCCTTTTTCGTCACGTCGTTCTGTACAGATTCGTGCCGTGGGAATTGTCCGTTATGCCCCTGGTTTCAAATTTTGCGCTGCCTTTTTCGTATGGGTAGCTGTGTAAAAGACGCATTGCTGTGGTGGTGCCCGTGTCGTTTTGCGGGTGAAGTGGGCCGGCGGAAGAGGAGGATTTTGGCCCGTGGGATCAAATTCGGCCCTTGTGATGTTGGAGCAGGCCTGGTAACAGGCTGGGCCCGTTTTGGCATTCGGGATGGGCTGACTTGACGTGACGGTATCAGCAGAAGTTAATGCTCGCGGCTACGTCGCCTCCCCAGTAACCGATGATCGTGACAACATGCCGTGACAGCGAAATCACCTTCGTTTCGTCTTTCGAGTGTTATACTCTAACCAAGTTTATTTAAGGGCAGCACTAACTCTCTATATCGATCAGCTCTGATATAGTTTCCGTAGCATATACTCAATCCGTTTCATAACGTCGTTTCATAATGTAAAACTTTCTAGCATTGTCAACGAAGTATTTCACAATTAGAAAAAAGTAAAATGATAAGAGAGTTAACGAGAAAAGAAAGAACGATGAAGAAACTACTCCAATAATTAATGAAAACAAAATAATAGGCGGATGAAGGAAGAGAGAGAAAGTGACTGGATGATAATTTATTTTGAAAAAACATCCATTATTAGATGTATAGTTTATATAGATAATACCGATGTGACATGGCAAGTATGGAAACTATTAAATAAATAGTTTATGAGTTGGGATTATCCTTATGTAGTACAGAGCAAATTAACCGTGTATCCCTTCTTCCTATAAAGTTATCCCCCACTAAGTGCAATTAATCTCCTAAAGCTCAAACCTCAGTGTTCCCCGTCATCATTGATTGGCAGCCGTTGGATCGGATGATTACATCGCATCTCAGCCGTTGGATGAAAAGGCTGACTTCACAGACGTGAGGAAGCGAGGGACTTCACATGCGTGAGGCAGCGAAGGAGGTCCATATCAGTGTACTTCATCCGTCCCAAAATGTAAGCATTTTTGAGGTTGGCACGGGTATTAAGAAAGTAGGTGAGAATGATTGAAGAAGGTGTGTGATTGGTTGAAAAGAGAAAGTAGGTGAAAAAGAATGGTTGTGATTGGTTGAGAGGAGAAGGTAGGTAGAAAAATAGCTTCATTTTGGGACAAAGTACTGTGCTAGAAATAGCTACATTTTGAGACGGAGGTAGTACTTCACAGGCGTGAGGCATCGAAGGAGGCCCATATCAGTGTATCGCAGCCCGCAGCCCGCGGCCCAATGAGTGATTTAGGGTTCGGTGTGTCTCTCTCATCCTCCCGAGCCCAACTTCCTGAATCGGAGCGGCGGCGGCGCAGTGTGGCGAACCGCCTGGTGCGGCGCAGTCACGCGCGGGTGTTGGTAGGGACAACGCGGCGCGGTCGCGCGCAGGTTTTGGTAGGGACAGCGCACGGCGAGGTGTGGTGCGGCATCCGTTCGCCTGGGTCGCGGGAGAAACGTCGGGAGCGATCCATGTAGCGATGCGCCGATGGGGAGAAACGTCGGGAACCCTGACGCCATCCATGGTGAAATCAAATGGCCCCTCCCTCATCCTCAACCGCCAGCAGAGATGGTAATCACTTCTCATTCCCCTCCCTTAATCACAAGCATTTACATTAGAAACTGTCAAAATCAGGCGATCGCTGCCCCTGAACCCCAACAGACACTGACTCACGAGAATATGAAGCAGCGCCGCCGACGGATCATCTTCCTCCAGCAGGGGCTCAACCGTTTCTTTCTCTTTGTTAATACGAGTGCACCTGATCCCCTTCCGCCAGTGTGCCGTGCAGTATCTCGCCTTCTTTGCACCTGTTCGGCTACGAGCCTGCGACCTCCATCATCTCTTTTTGAATATTGTCGATTTATTGGAGTAGTTTCTTGCCTGAGTCTTCAATCCTGTTGATTCAGCTATTGTGGCCATATGCCCATTTATATTTTTGTTCACACAGTTCACACACCAAGCGTGAAAAATCGAACAGCAGCAGGAGAAAGCCACAGACCAGAGCCATTGGCATATCTATGAAAAGCGAGATTTCATATTGTCAACGGATTTCATGATTTTATCGGCATGATTATCCGCTAATGCAATTCATCAGTTGCAGTTCTTAACATACAGATGTGTTTTGCTTTCCTGATTTCTGGATCACCTCGCCACTGTTATTTTCATTGATTTGCCATGTCATCGCTGATCCAATCGTTGTCCCAGGTAACTCCTTCCTTTATCTTATATACTACTACAATATCAACTGAATTTATTTTGTGTTTTTTTAAAGAATACAGGAGCTTGGTTTTTCCATCACCTTATGTGTGTGCTCTAATGTCTATACTTGATTTTTTTTTCTCGCCACTGAAGATAGCAAATATATTGGTCTTTTTCCCTCTTTGAATTGACATTGTATTTTTTAGCAGTATAAGATCTATTGCAAACTATGGTAAAATCACTCCCTTACCTTTCTGTTTCTTCGCACACATTACAAGAAACGGTCGGTTTGGTGTTCAATGTTCAATTCACTAATTTATTTTTCTAGAATAGTTTAGTCTTCTGCTCTGCCGTGTGTGGCTTTCTAAAAAAGCCGGGCCGTATGGCCTCCTCTCTAAAAAAATAGTTTAGTCTCCTTTAATTATTCAATAAGTTACTCATTCTTTTACGAGGAAATTTTACTAGCAGTAAAGCCTCTCCGTTTCAATGGGTATATCAACCGTATTCACAACAAGCACTCTTTGAGGTTGAACAAATCTGTTCCGAGATATATTTATGAAATTATGTGTGAGCAATAGTAAAATTCCTAAATGCACTATATAATTTTCTCATCGTGTTTGTCACTTACAGGTTGCTTGACAGACAATTTGTTTACTTTAGCAGTCTTTGCACAGACCATTTGTCATTTTTCATTAACCAGTCTTTCCTTTTGATATCAATGCAATCATTGTAAGAGTTTAACATGATTTTCGTTGAACATATATGTACTATTCTACAGGAAAATTAAGTCAATAGTTCCATATGATATGTATGTAGATTAGCATCTGTTGAGTTTGGTAAAAGTGATGCATGACAAGATTTGCATGTACTGCCTAAATATTTTTCTGATACTTCATCGTAATGTTATCGTTTGATCACTAAGCTTGATAGGTCAAGCTTTCAGTATTATTATTTGCTTTAGAGGTGATATACTATAACTGTACCACTATTATTCTTTCTGTAACCATTTTTTTAAAATTCTCGCAGCAATGCGCGGGGTATACTTAGTTTACTAGTATTGTCTTTCAGGTATTAAAGGCCCACAAACGAGGATAGAAAAACACAAATTCCTATAAAATTTCACGACCCAAAGTTTCAGCCTATTAAGGTAAAGTTTTTTTCCGCATGAAACGTGGCTTATATTAAAACAATAGAGATTGGAGTATCGCTGTAATAATAACTAAAACAAAAACAAAAGATGTGGCACATAGATATAAAAAGGCTCAGTGCCGTAAGAGATACATGCAGACCTATCTGAAATACTTTATCTGTCCCAGAATAAACTCAGCCATAAGTTTTCGTGTCCAACTTTGATTGTTCGTCTTATTTATTTTTAAAAAAAAAACTAAAAAGCATAAGTACGCATAAAATACTATTTATGTTTTATAATCTAATATCAATAAAAATACTAATCATAAAAAAGTTTTTAAATAAGATAGACGATGAAAGTTGTACGCGGAAACTTATGGCTGCGTTTATTTTAGGACGAAAGGAGTAACCACTAACAAAGATATAAAAAGATACAGTGCCTGTTATCATAAGCTTTCATTTAAAATGAAAAAAAAAAGAAATCCTTAAAAAATATCACTAGCATGTTGAATACTCTCGCACTTCTAAAATACAACCATCTTAAACTATGCACTGGTTATTTTGGGGTAGAGGGAGTTTTTTTTAAAGAAGGGAGGGAGTAATAAAATTTGTCAATAACACATGAAATATTGATAATGTTAAAATTTAGGCATTACTAATAGGGGGTAACATTTCTCTGTATTTTTCATCATAGCATAAACTTCGCTTGGCTCGTGAATGTTTTGTGTGTTGTGGCGTTGTGCTAGTAGTACTATCTCCGTTAAAAAACCGTCCGTCTTATTTGAAAAAAATATGAAAAAAATTAAAAAGACAAGTCAGGCATAAAGTATTAATCATGTTTTATCATCTAACAATAATAAAAATATTAATTATAAAAAAGTTTTATATAAGACGGATAGTGAAACGTTGGATACTAAAGCACATGATTTGTTTTTTGGAAGGGAGAAGTACTTAACTTTGCACAAAACTGGCCAGCACGAAGATCAAAGCAAAAACAAAACCCCAGGAAGGCAGAGAGGCCAAGAACTGGAGCCTGAGACGGAGAGGGCAAAGCGCTTGGTGTCCACTTCGCTCACCACACTTCCCCTCTTTCCCGCCTGCGTGAGGCCTCGTACTCTCACCGACACATGGGCCCTACCACCCGCGCCCGCTTCGTCCACAACCGCCGCCGCCGCCGCCGCCGCGGGCCGTACGCCGCCCCCGACGACGACGACGAGGAGGAGGACCAGCAGGAAGCCTCCTCGTCTTCCTCATCCTCCGACGAGGGAGAGGAGGATGCTGAGGAGGAGGGCTCCGGAGAAGTCGATGACGATGATGGCGAAGCGGCGGAACCCTCGGGTAAGGAGGAGGAGGTGTCCCCCGTGGCTGCGGCGGCGAGGAGCGGGAGGAAGGCCTCGATCACAATTAGTCTCAAGAAAGTGTGCAAGGTATAGTGCTCGTGGTCGTGGTCGGTGCCAGGATTTTCTTTCGGTTTTTCCTCCTCAATCTCCGGATTGTGCTATATCCATCCATTAATGTTCGGATTTCGGAAGGAATGCTTCGTCCTGATGCTTCGACTTTAATCTGTGTGCTGGAACTTGGCCTCTCAAGCGGTTTGGGGGTTTGGAGCTTGAAGAGTTCCTCATCTTGTTTCTTACTACTTTGCTACTAATACTTTCATTCCGATAGCTTTTGGGATTGGAGATGTTAACTTGGTGCTTTTTCCGTTTTGCTTAATTCTGGGATACGAAAAGCCCCTACTGTTGATAATCTGTTTAATTATATTAATGTGGATGGTTGCTTACTCTCCTGCATATCTCTCTCTCTAGTAAAAAAATGGTTTGGGCAGGGAAAGACTCATTCTTTTCTATTCACTTCAGCAAAACTTTGAGATTTTTTTTCCCTGGATAGAGTTTCCTTGATGGTTTCTGAACTTTTCTGGGTGTGAATGTTCTCTAACTGTAGTTGATGTGTGCCTTGTGATGTCTGGTCTGGTTGCAGGTTTGCAAGAGTACAGGGCATGAGGCCGGGTTTAAGGGAGCAGTGTATATCGATTGCCCCAGGAAGCCTTGTTTCCTATGCAAGATGCCAGGTTCTGATACCCTTCACTGTATGCTTGTTTTTTTTTGTGCCTTTTCGAGCACAAGAGTTCAGTCAGAGCACTAATTTGAGATAGCTGAGTGAGAAACCGGAATTTCCAAATGGGGAAGTGGCGATGTCAAGAACTGATGTTGATGAAGTAGTAATTGCTCGTATTCATGCTCACATGCAGTTTAGGCAACTTCTTGCTCTAGATAGTTTCTGAAAGTTGCCTCTTCCCTCAAGATTAGAGGGATATACGAATGAACCAATCATTTATTCGGACCAGAAAGAGAGGCATAGAGTAACAATATACAGTCTGTTATTGATGGACCTACCCATCTTACTTTCTCATATTTCTTCAGTTTGCTCAAATAGCCGCTCCTTTGATTGATCGTACAAACAAAATTGCCATTAACATCTTGAGAGCTTGATTGACAGTCTTACCAAATAAATAAGAAGTCCATTTCTTCTGCAATAGCACTTTTATCCCTTGGCAAAACTAACATGAATGGTGGTTATCTGAGTCACTGACATACCACCATATTTTCCCTCATTCGCAGGCCATACAACCTTGACATGCCCACATAGAGTAGCAATGGAGCATGGTGTTATCCCGGCCTCTAGAAGGAACACAAACACTTCACTGGATTATGTGTTTCAGAGCCAAGTTAAAGGCAAGATTCCCATGGTATAAAATCCACCAAATGCCTTTTTTTCTTACTAGTTTTTCTTTTGCGATATTTATATGTCTTTGCTAGTACCAGTTTTGACAGTTTCTTTTCTCCCAACTTTTAGGTTAAGCCTCAGTTTCTGATACCCAATCAACTGGAGTGTGGGAACATAAAATTTCACCAGAGGCGTGTGACCTGCTTGGAATTCCATCCAACTAAGAATAATGTGCTTTTATCAGGAGACAAGGTATTACAGTCCCTACTCCGTACTAGGGACTTTGTTGTCCACTTAAATTCTTTTCAAGTTCAGTTGCAGTTCTGGAACATATGCAACTACTGACCATACTTAGCTGTTCTGCCCACACAGAAAGGACTATTAGGTGTTTGGGATTACGTCAAGTTGCATGAGAAGATTACTTATGATTCTGTGCATTCTTGCATTCTCAACAGCATGAAGTAAGAGCTTTTCCTCCACAGTTTTTATTGTTTGTTTCTATTGTCCAAGGATAAAATATTGCAACTTGATTATGTTCTGTACAGGTTTGACACTACCAATGATGGATTACTATATACAGCCTCTTCTGATGGTACTATAAGTAGCACAGACTTGGACACTGGAATTGGCTCCTCTCTGCTGAATTTAAATCCAAATGGCTGGAATGTAAGTTTCCACTGCTTTCTAGTCAAGCTTATGCTATTATATATTTTATTTGCATTCTACATCTTTTATTGTAGTTAGATAACCATTTTATTGCACTGTTCTGAACAAATTCACATCCATTTTGCACTTCCCTGTAACAGCTAACAATTCCAGTTTGTTTCTCACAACAGGGTCCGAGCACTTGGCGCATGATTTACGGGATGGACTTTAACTCTGACAAAGGTCTTCTTTTGGTGGCGGATAGCTTCGGTTTTCTTCACTTGTGAGTATCCCCAGGAAGTGGTTTGGTACCTTATATGAATAAAAAAGGCCTACCATGCTGTATTTGCAGCTAGCAGCTTCATATGATCAGTCAACTTGCGTGTTAATATGTTTCATTCAATGCATTTGCTTGGCAGCAAGTTCCAAATAGTTTTGTATCAATGATGATTTTTATTTTCGAGGTTTTTCTTTGTGCTATTATGTGTAGCATTTCTCGGTGTTATATATGCATCTGCCACATTAGACTATTGACATAATATAGACTATTATATATGTCCTACACCTTTCTACTTGCAGGCTGGATAGACGGTTGAAGGCAAGAATTGGAGATCCAATTCTTATACATAAAAAGGGTAGCAAGGTTACCAGCCTCCACTGTAACCCTGCTCAGCCTGAAGTTCTTCTAAGCAGTGGAAATGATCACTATGTGAGTGTGTTCTGCACGCCTGCATATTCCTTTTAATTTCTGCTTTGTGAATAATAATATTTTCCACATCTCTCTGCGATTTGATTATTAGGCCCGTATTTGGGATACAAGGAAGCTGGAGCCCAACTCTGCCTTTGTGAGCCTTGCTCATGGAAGAGTTGTTAATTCAGGATATTTTTCCCCACAAAGTGGGAATAAGATCTTGACAACATGTCAGGATAATCGAATCCGTGTATGGGATTATATTTTTGGTAATCTGGAATCCCCAAGTAGAGAGATTGTTCACAGCCATGACTTCAATCGTCACTTGACTCCCTTCAAAGCAGAGTGGGATCCAAAGGTTCAGTTCAATAACACATTTCTCTTTTTCAGATATTTTTTCATTAATTTGCATTTGATCAGTTTTAAAATGGAATGGCAATGCTCTGTAGGATCACACAGAAACAGTTGCAGTTATTGGTCGTTACATAAGTGAAAACTACAATGGGATTGCTCTACATCCCATTGATTTCATAGACACCAGTACTGGGAAGCTTCTGGCTGAGGTGATGGACCCTGACATTACAACTATCAGCCCGGTGAACAAGCTACATCCGCGAGATGATATCCTGGCTTCAGGAAGTTCAAGGTAGGCCAACTGATATGTTTGTACTCAACATCTCTATCCAATGCTACCGTCTTTCTTTCAGTCTTACATGGCTGTCCTTGCAGGTCCATTTTCATTTGGAAACCAAAGACTGAAAGTGATGCTACTGAAGAGAGGAACAGAGAGAAGGCAAAGGAATTTGTATATGGATCAGGCAGCCGGAAAAAATCAAATGGCAAGCATGAGAATAGCAGTGATGATGACTCAGATGGCAGTTGTGATGGAAAGAAGAAGAAGAAAGCGAAGAAGACTCGCTTCACTCATACCATAAAGGGGAAGGGCAAATCCAAGGTTTGATATATATAGTGAAGTTGATGCACCAAACATTTTGACATAAACCACTTATTACCAGCTGCTGCAGCATCATTTTTGTACTGTATTGCCTCCTTAGCTGAAATGCTGGAGGCTCGTAGTTGTATACTGCAGCAGTCTTGAGTAAAATGTTTAGAAGTGGTAGTCTCAGTTAGTTTTGAATGCTGACAAGATATGCTTGTCGACAAGAATGCAGCTATGTATATAAAGTTACTGAATGGCAATATACTGATCCGCTACGTTGCTAAGTTACTAGTGAAGAGTAACTATTTTATCTGTGGGCACACAAGAGTTCATTAAGCTCAGAAGTAGCAGCAGAAGAGCAAGCTGATGCTTTTAAGCCATGCAATTTTTGCTTCCAATGCAGACAGTTTGCTCACTACACTTCTGCTATCAGAAGTTTTGGGCTTCTATATTGTTCAGTTAATCATCACTCAGCAGGACATCGTAAGGCATTTAGAATGGAAACTCCAGGATTATAAGTACTATTAGGTCAGCACTGCTCCAAAATTGCTACTACCCCGGTTTTTAAATATATGACATCGTTGATTTTGGAGTTGATTTTGGAACATGATGTTTGACCATTCGTCTTATTAAAAAAACTCTATAAATATTAATTATTTTGTTGTGACTTATATTTGCACTAAATTTTTGCATGAGATGAATGGTCTAACGCCATGTCCAAAAGTCAATACGCCTTTACATTTAAAAAACACGGAGGGAGTAGAATGGATTAGTTAGTTGGCATTGTCATCTTACACCTCTTGGTCAGGGTGTTCCATCACCATGATGGGTTCTTTTGGCACCTTCAGTATGATCTGGTTCTGATCCCAGCCAGCTATTTCCATCTGTTTGAGGAAGTCAGGGAATCCGTGCTCCAACGCAAGAACGCTCTCCTCTAGCCAAGAGAAAACATCATCCTGCCTTAGCTGATTTTTGTCAAGCCAATGCGCTTGCCATAGGCTCCTGAGGACTGACATGCTCGTTGCAGCCTCCTGGAAATAATAGGAACAAACACATGTTATGCACTTCTTGCTGATCTTCTGTGCAGCAATTTTAAGTGGTAAATTACCTTGAATGTAACAAAAAATGCTGCTCGGCCTGTTCCAATCGGATTGAGAAAGAGGATGTATTTCTCATTTCTGTACAACTTCAATAGTCTATCCACCTATCATCAATTTCAAAGATTGGTCATAGGTTGGAATTAAGGTGTGAGATATGCTTGCAGAGTCATGAGTGATAAATAGGTTAAAAACATGCATGGTCAGCAGCAACCAGTTCAGTGAGGACAATGCGTCAATGCCTACCAGATACAAAGAACGGGTGATGTATACTGGGTCAGGCTTAAGCTGCTGACTCACCTAATTGTTATCTTAAATGGGGAAAGCGTTCATAACTCGCTATACAGGAGATTTTTAAAAAATAGTGGCTATATTTGAACATTGTTGGGTTTAGAAAAACTCACCTAAAACAACAAAAAAGGCTAAGGCGGGCTGCAGTTGTTGATTGAATTTTGAAACACTAGTTACGGCTTAACAGAGAGATTTTCTTGTTATTGCTTTTAACTCTAATTGTCAAGGCCTCAAGGGATCTTGATTACAAAAGGCAGTGTAATATGAAGTTTCAAAAAAATTATAGCAAAGTAAAAGGAATTGGCAGAACTTTGGATTTGGACAAATGCTGAAGATTCATACCACGTCACTGGATTCCTCTTCACCAAGCATTCTCTCCATGGGAACACCAAAAGAAATTTGTGGATGCAAGAATCTTTCCCATGTTAAAATATTCTCCTCCTCGTTGCAAGTCACATAATCTACAACAGAAGGACAGGGATGGCTATCAATGATTGCTTCAGAAAGCAAGAAAAGTGTCAAAAAGCATCAAGTGAAGAATATGTCACCAGGAACTGTGTGCTTTGCAACGTGTGATCTCACGAGAATCCGAGCGCGTTTCAAGTTTACCTACCAGTATAAACATGCATTGGGAAATGACGGTGATAGATCATATTTATGTATACTATCATATCTAACAAATTGAGTTACCAAAATCAATGTACCAAATTGAGCAAAACATAATTTAAGCCAAGCACCTTACTGTGCGGAATTTGAGAACTGATAGGGACTGATAGCGAAACCAAAGATGTAGAAGACGGACACCAAGCCATGTCAAAGCAAGTGTTGGGTATGATGACTTTATACCTGATGTATCCTGAAATATACCAGCAAATGGATTCTTAATCAAAGTTGGCATTTGTCTTCCTTAGTGGAGAGTCAATAGTTAATGGAATACTGAAAAACTGAAACAAGTAACAAGTAACAACCCAAGAACTTATGGATAATTATACCATAATAAATACACCGATAGAAAGGCCTAACAACTGAGCTCCTACTTCCCATACTTCCTCCTGAAAATACATCAGAGTTTCTTCAGTGAAAATTTAATGAAATTATTATCATAGATCTCTTATTCACAGGAGCAAAACAATGTGATTTGAAACTAATATTCCGTGGAAAAATTGTTCGATGATTGTAATACTGCATTATTTTTCATATAAAAACAATATTATATTGATTGAACCAGAACTGGTAATTTGTGACAGTGTACCTATCTTGTGCAGTCAAAGGGCACAGTGACACTGAATTGACTGCTAGAAAGTACTGGAATGAACAAGGTACCTTTGCAGCAACCTCCCCTAAATTTCCAGATTCCGCGAAGTGATTTTGGATAACACGGAAGGATGGATCCCTAAATCCTCTTCCTACAGCCTGCTTAAGAAGTCCAGAATCAATGATTTTCTATACAAAAATGCAGGCTTTTCAAGATAGACTTAAGTCACCTGTGAAACTACATCGGATACATATATTCTTTTCAATGTACCTTTGCTAGATTCCCCAAGGACGCAAGTGGGAGGAAGTATCCAGGATAGAGCGGAGTGATGAGCTCGAAGATGCTGCATATGTACGGATAATATTACAAGTGAATTTTCGCATTTTCGAGTCACCATGTCAACATAACTTACATATATGCTTTTATTATTTAAGAGAGTAGATCAAGGAACCTTCCAGCACTTCCAATGAAATCGGCATACATCCGCCACTTCTTTGGGTCATCATCAAAAAGAGTTCCGAATCGTCCACCTAAAGAAATCATTCACAAAGCTTCCTAAACAACATAGATTATTCATAAACCTTCCTGCACAATGTAAAGTATTAATGAACCTTCCCACCTTCCTGGACAGTATTTATATTCTGAAAATATGACCAGACATATTAACCGTACCAATTAGAAGACGTCCAAAAGCCCCTATGCCATCTTTCGATACCCATCTACAAATATGGTTTTTTTTTTTAGAATTAGGAGGATCTAAGTCAGCAACAAACTAGGAGGTCTGAGTTATTACGAGCACAAAATGAACATGTCTACTTGCATTGGCATCCTGAGTTAATTACAAGCACAATATGAACAGGTCTACTTGCATTGGCATCACACTTCAGGCTTGACTACATGCCCTAACTATATTCATGCAATAATTCAAGACTCAAGAAAAACTCTTTCCTATCATATATACAAGTAGAATTAAGGTAACCAAAATACAAATGAAAGAGAAGAAGATTAGTATCATGATTCTTTCACTTCGAGAGAAATAATAATACCAAGGACTCTTTTCTAATAATCGATATAACATAGCAAGGATGATAATGACCTTATAGCAGCAGCAGAAGCAGCTGCTGAAGTTCCTGTAAAGGACCCAACACCTACAGCCTGCGTCAATCTATAATCAGTTAATCATAAATTGTGACATAACGTTATGATTGAAGAACATGCTTTGAAAAACTCAAGACTGTAATTGAACTGCTCAACTGTATAACATAATGTCAATAAGACTAAAACCAGGCTACATGTTTTCTTGTAATTTTGCTCCTCAGAAGTCAGATCGTAAAGTGATCATAATCATCATCAAAAGAAAAAGGCCGACTGGAAATACAGAACACGCGAAAGCAGGACATTTTTTTTCCTGTCCCCTTCTTTATTTGGGAGAACGTGACAAGGTCATGTCATCTACTCCCAAATAAAACAAGGGAGCTACCTTTTGTTAACTTGTTCAAGTTATAATATACCTTTAGAAGGGTTGATGTAACCAGCGTGTGACAGATCCATCCTGTTACATTTGTTGGTAATTGCCATAGCATATATTCCAGGTAATCGTCTGACACAGACCCTGTAATGTATACAAAGAACAACGGCGAGTTATGAGTTTGCCAGGAAGTATATAATACTCCTATGTAGGAATGTAGGATCATAAAGCAACTTTCCCACCCTCACAAGCTAGCCAATGAGATAAGGGATTCCCCCATTTTTATATTAGGTCCCTTACCCTTCCACAGCCAATGTGAGATTATTCAACATAATACAGGTCTACGTTCGACAAGAGTTGTGAGATTCTGTAGTCCCAGGCTCCCAGCATGGTGATACTGTTCATTAGACTTAATTACGGAAGTTTGAACAACACCTATTCACTGAACTTTCTACTTTTGTACTTTGGGTGTGTTTAGTTCACACCAAAATTGGAAGTTTGGTTGAAATTGGAACGATGTGACGGAAAAGTTGGAAGTTTATGTGTGTAGGAAAGTTTTGATGTGATGAAAAAGTTGGAAGTTTGAAAAAAAAGTTTGGAACTAAACTCGGCCTTTACCAAACTGAGACCCTTCATACTAGTCTGCGATGAATGGTAAAGTGAGTACGAAATATGGAACAGTTTAAGTCACCTGGAAACCCCGCGGGAAGTACAAAATCCTTAATAGCACGGGGAATCGAAGAATTTGCTTCTTCTTTTTCTTCTTCTTCCAATGTGTTCGCCATATGTTCATTCTTCTCCTGGTGAATCTGTAGCTTAGAGTTTCCATCCAGTATATACCTATTTAATTTTAACCACAATTCCGCAATTCCACACATCTTTTCTAAGTGTTATTGGATTTCAAGAAAATGGACAGCGAGAAATATAATTGGGATTTCAGAAGCGAAGAGACCTCTTGGAAACCCCATCCTGGTATCTCTCCACGAGCAAACGTCTCGCTTTTCTGCATAAGAAGCGCACAAATTTCATTATCAACAAGAAGAAGAAGAAAAAAAAAACTGCGGCATGAAACGGAGCCGCGAAATCCAGTGACGAACTCGGACTCGCGGCAGTCTCCTCCTCCTCCACCGGATGCCGGCGGGGACGCGAGGCAGGAGCGTAGCCGCGGTCTTCTTCGTCGGGGAGCTCCGCCATGGAAGCTCGCGTCGGCGGCGGCGGCGGCGGCTGCGGAGAGCATATGCTCCGGTGCGGTGCTATCGCCAGCGAGTGGAAGTGGAAGGGTAGCCCGCGAACTGCACCGCGTCCAGTACTTAGTACACAGGCTGGGATCTCCTCCAGCCGTCCGATCAGGCTTGGACGGTCCAGATCGAGGAGTGACGAGTACCGGATCCTGTTTTGCACTTGAGACCTCGCCTTATTAGTGTTTCCTGTTTACGGCCCCTCCTTCGAATTATAATTCGGGAGAACGTCAGCCGTCCGATCTGAACTTAGCGGCGCTGTAGGTTCGTTGCAGCTTCAGGATCTATTGGCGAACACATGCGGAGCCAGCACCACCATAAAGCCCAGATGACCAGTAGTGTTTTTCGTTGACCAATTGATTTTTATACACGTCGATGACTAACGGTAATATATATAGACGGTAACTGCAGAGCTCGAGCGGCCATCCGACATGTCCGGGAGTTGTCTCTACCATTGGACGTATAGTTTCAGGTCTCTTCCGAACTTCAATTTCTATGGATTTGCTGCTAGTTTCACTATGGAGATTTCGACATGTTTGGTAGAGCTCTAATTTCTAAATTTAGCTCTAGGAGTTGGATCTCAAGTGTAGTTGTGGAGCAGCCTAAACCTAGCTCTACATTTTTAGCTCATTTTGTGAGAACGCTCCACCTAGCTCTACTCCCATTTTAAGTGGAGCTAAAACTGTTTAGCTGGACTTCAGCTTCAGGAGAGGTGAAGCTGCCAAACAAACCCTTATATTAGATTTTGCGTTGCTATGCACTAGTCATCAGGATGTGTTTACTCTAGCTTTTAGGTCTCCTAGATCGAAATAAACGTGATTGTTTGGAGTAGCGTAGCCGGTATTGATATTTTTTTTCTCATAATAAATTGGTTTGGAGACCATCAGTTATATACTCCCACTATTTCAAAATAAACCAATTTTGTATCGGATGTGACACATCAAAATGTTTAGATTTATCGTATTAGAATGTGTCACATCTTGTACACCATTACATTAAGTAAACGTGTTGCGTCATGTTTTGTGATTTCCTTTTCTTACTGCATGTCTTCGTGTCAGCTTCTTTTTTTTTAAAAAAAATGTATATATGTACAGGTTGTGATTTGGTTTTACAACAGTGAGGACTGAGAAGAAATCGAAAGGCCGATCTTACAGCTGCTTCTCCACTCCCTCCCATGTTCAATTAAATGCATTGATATGGTTGTTCTTCTTCTTTTTATATAATGGTTAAATCAATAATTCGTCCCCTTGAAAAAAGTCAATATATATTCATTACCCCATGGTTGTTCTTCAAGGTATAATCTTCAAACAATTGAGTAACTGATCCGATAAGCTCAGAATTCACCTCCATGCATACTCTTCATTCTCTGGCAAAAAGATTGAACGTGGCAGGAGTCGTTGGTTCCTTCAACGAGCAGATTTCAGCTCAATTTCTCAACGTAAATTTTGGAATGTATGACAGATTCATAATTCAAGTTCCACAATAACGATCCAAACTCCAGGCTACTGTCAACCATCCCCTTTCTGGTTAACAGCTCGCAGGATGGAAACTTGCAAGCCAAGTAGCTTATGGCATCAACGATCGAGAGATTGATATCTAACTATGTTTTCCATTCCCGGTGTCTCCAAAGCCTATTATCTCGAACACACACCAAATATAAGAACAACGACACATTCATTTTCAACTTCGATTCCTATGGATAAACAGCAGAAGATGAGTCATATATATCATACTGGCTAGCTAGTAGAAACTATGTACTCCATGTATATCTATCTCAGCCTCTGATCAGGTGAATGCATTTTTATAAGCACAAGTAGGCTCAGGTAGCTAGTGAGAGGTACTCTCTCCGTCACATAAAAAAACGAATCTAATATCGGATGTGACACATTCTAGTATTATGAATCTGAACGAATATATGTTTAAATTCGTAGGACTAGGATGTGTGTCACACCCGGTACTAGGTTTTTTATGAGACAGAGAGAGTCTTATAAGTAACATGGCAGAATATAATGAAATAAATACGTAGATGCTAGTTCATTGATTATAAGGCTGCCAAGGGATTCACAAGATTCCACAATTCAAAAAAAAAAAAACCAAAGAGCAAGATTTAATGTACTACCGAAAGAAATTAAAGCTAAAAATTAATATTCTTCATCTTCCTGAAAGAGTAGTAGTTGTGTCTGCTTGAAAAGCAATATAATCTGCAGATTGTATTACTAATACTTGGGTCTTTATATATCCTTCAATGGTTGCATCTTTCATGGTTAATTGGTGACGCTGTATAGTTCCTTTCTTGAACACTTTCCTCTTGCTTTTGAAACTATGGATCACCTGAAGCCCCATTTTTCTCCGTTACTGCATCTCGAAACCCGCATCATTGTCTTTCTCTATTGGTAACAGAAAGTAATCTGACTTGCTAATCTCATCTGATCGAAGGGTTTGGATCTATTTCTACTATCACCTCACTCAACGATAGTAGAACCGTGAAGGTATTATCATCCAAGAACAAATATTTGTGAAGGTGGGGTATAATCGTCGTTTACAGTCACTTACCCTAGCCGCACTCTCTCACGCCTGCATGACTGCCTAGCGTCTCCTCCCTCGATCTCCGCTGCATTCGATTGTGTCTCCACGTTTGAAGTGACCAACGTACATGAATTATATACGCTCAGTAGGATCGAATTTGTTCCGTATACGTTGAACACTAACAGCATATATATCTTTCTCCTTGTTCGTTCATAAAAGTTGCAGATAAAAAATGTCAGACATAATCATTTTCTTATTGCTTCAAGTCACATGAAGCATACTGTTGCTACTGCTACTGCTCGAGTTCACACTTTAGACTTTAGAAAGGCCGGCCCCACCAATTCATGAGCTCAAAAATCTGATTTGTACTAGCTTGTTGATTTAACCAAAAAAAACTGGACATGGGCACACCTGTTGCCTCGAATAATATTTTTTGCAGCATTAGAAATAGTAGATATAAGTTGTACAGTCCATGATAGAGGTGTAAGTGGGTCAGCCGCGAACCACTTATAGGTCAAAATAAGCGGGTTTGTGACTTATTTTAGCCCATAAGTGGGTTTCGCGGGTTAGCCACTTACACCCCTAGTCCATGATGCACAATGAATACAAATAGGAAAGGTCTATAGACGAGACTCTGAGGCATGGTTTAGTTCCCAACTTTTTCTTCAAACTTTCAACTTTTCATCACATCAAAACTTTTTTACACACACAAACTTACAACTTTTCCATCGCATCGTTCCAATTTCAATCAAACTTTCAATTTTTGTGTGAACTAAACACACCCTGACTAGAGGCTGCAAAAAACATCTAAAAAACAGCACGGTGCTCCTGCACGTACGGGGGTAAAATAGGGTGACAAATGGAGGAGGATGAGTGGGGAATGAATGGCGGCCGGAGTCGACTGCCGGCGGCGAGAGGATTTGCTGAGCAGTGGAGATCGCTGCCGTTAGGAGATCTCGACGGTGGTAGGATTTGCCACAGCTAATGAATTTATAAAATCTCAAAGTAGTAAAGTATTGATATGTCCTTATGAACTAATAGTTCAGATTAGTTATACATGTTGTATAATACTATCAGTACAGAGCACCGGAGTATCGCCCCAGAATATATAACTATATCAAGGCAACCATCTGCGCTGTCTAGTTAGATTTCCACCGGCGGTAGAAGAGCATAGCCAACTGCTTTTCTCATTCCTGGTATCTCCAAAGCCTACCTATATACTATTACCACATACTCCCTCCGTCCCATAAAAAACTAACTTAGTACCGGATGTGACACATCCTAATAACATACATATGTCCAGATTCATCGTACTAGAATATATCACATACGATCCTATATTCGTTTTTTATGGGACGGAGGGAGTATATACTATTACCGTACGTGTGAACATGTAAAATTAACAATAGATTCTTTATGCACGACTTGATTCCTACAGGCATAAGGAAAACAATACAAGTGGTCATGTAGAGGCCAGTTTATATCAACCTCCCGAATGAATGGGTTATATATGCCCAGCTAGCTAGAGGAGCAGCTAACAAGCTAGTCCAGACAAGGTGTATATGGTAATGGACAATGGTGACATTAATATGCAAGTGAAGCTGTGAAGATGCTCATTGATTGTTAAGGCTGCCAAGTGATTTACAAATGAAAGGAGAGGAAGATTGAATACTGCTGAAAGTTAAAGCTAAAAAGTAATCTCGATCATCTTGAAAGCTAGCTGTGTCTAGCTTGCTCGAAGCAATCTTCAGATTTTACGACTGAGCCTTTTGATCTTTCAATTAGAATTAGTAATGTGAGCAGTTGTCATCTAACTATAAACACCACATTTCGCCCATTAATTAGTTCTAGTCGACACAGCTCCTTCTAGCTTGCTCCTCAACCACGCGGTGGTGAAGATCTTCCAAGTCCCTAAACCGTCAGTTAAGTTGGCGCAGTTCTCATGATCGTTGCAAATCGCCCTGCGATTCACACCGGACAAGGAAGAATATGTGTGCACGGGCTCATACATATTTTTTTTTCAAATTTATAGAAAAACGGCCAATTATCAAATACAGAGAAACGAAAAATATTCTCTCTTGTGGTGTGCTTCTTGATGGAGACTCAAATTTTCTGTTACTCTATTTCTGGTTTGCCTAGTGCCTGTACTGTTATTTTATTTTGACAGTAAACAGTACACAGCAGGGAGACTCCTACTGTGGTGCCTGTAATATTATTGCTGCATATTATATATGCTAGTGGTAACACCGTTTCAGTTCTTGCTAAATCAGCTAAATCAATCATCTTCAGGGAGCAGAGAATCAAAATATCAGGACATGTTCAGTGTACAATTCAGACAGTAACTTACAGTTTTTCAAGTACGATGGGTGTTCCTCTTTTAAGCCAAAACAGGTTTTTCTCATCAGTATGCTTAATGTCTTGTCTCCTCAGGCAGCGAATGCATCAGTTGCTCTTAATCACTAATTAGGATAAGTTGCTAAAGCAGCTAACTAGCTATCTGCCCTTCCAAGAAAGAGAAAATGAGTCTAAAT